CTCAATCAACAACTGAAAGTGCAACAGATATGTCAGAATCAACAAACACAACACAGATATTAGGTTCTCAAATGAGAACAACGAAGGTTAAAAACATGGTTTAATCTAACAAACAACATAAAATGTGTAAAAAAAAAAGTGGGGTGGTAGGGGGGATTATATGAATAAAGAGAACAAATCAAAACACGTAGAATTACATAGGTGTAATAAAAGTGGGATTAAAACTTACATCAGCTATTCAATGGAGGAACAGAGACAGCAGTAGAGTTCCTCAAATGAACCTGGACCCTTTATCTGCAGGCTTAAGAATTTGGAAAGAGCACATCAGGCTTTCGTCAACGCTCATCATTGCCCCAGCATTATCAAATTCGCCACAATAATTGGGAGCGGAAAATATTGTCACGAGTTGTCTGTCAGAAAAGAACTCATATCCATCTTCAACGACCTGAAAGCGAAGCATTATGGTTAGTTGCTTTGCTTACACCACCCACACACATAAAAAGGAAGAAAAGAGCAAATAGCCCTAACCTGATGGGCACGGCAAACAAGGTCCATATCATTTTTCATTAAGAACTCGGAGACTCTATCTGGGCCAAAGGTAAAAGAGACTCCTCGATCATTCATACCCCACCCTTTTATATCCCTAGCAGGATCCGACCAAAGTAAATCACAAAGCAGACCAGAATCTGGAACATCAATTGGACGGGTTAAACTCTTAACTTGATCCAAATTAGTCAGCTCAGGGAGAGGCCACCATGCATGCACAATATTTTGTCATCTATTACAGCAGCCACCGGAAGACAGTTAAAACACTCGGTAAAGATTTTCCAAAGTCTCACATTGAACCTTCGTTTGCATTCATCATAAAATCCACAAATCCGGTTAATAGAAGCACATTCATGATTCCCTCTCAAAAGAAAAAAGTTCTCAGGATATTTAATCTTATAGGCGAACAAAAGGCACTCTGCTTGCCACGATCAACATAGTCCCCCAGGAATAAATAATTAACATTAGGGGGAAACCTCCATATTCAAAAAGCCTCAGAAGATCAGTGTATTGCCCATGAATGTCACCTGGAAGAATCAAACAACAAAAAGATCACAGACTATTAGAACTTCTTTCAAAAAGTTTAGGATAATGTAACAATTAGGAAGATAGATTTCCAGAATTGATGTTCAAAATAGCATGTGAATTATTCACTATACTATTTTGATATATTTGTCACTTCCACATAAATTGAATGTGAATTCCAGCATTTCTTCGGAGTTACTTTATCCATGCATAATTGGAACAACCAAGTAGTACCAAAAAAATATTACTTCATCAGTTTTCGATACTATGGTGGAAGAAACATTTTAAAGAAATTTAGGGTTTAAATCGGTTAAAAGAGAAGAATGATCACTAAGACCTCAGTACTTAAAATGGATATTTAAAGTGAAAGGAGGTTTCAATAATTTTATTTTTTATGTGGTTCTATCATTTTCATGATATTCTATATGTTCGTCGTGTAAAAATATACTAATAAATAGTTTCCACTTTCAACAATCAATAACATTTAGAGCACTCAGATGATGATTAACAAAATGATCTGGTTTCCACATCCATCCTCTGCAACAGCTGATTTTTCTACACTTGAGCCTTTCCGGGCAATCCACGGCATCCTCAAGTAACCAAGATAAAATGAAGCAGCTCAGCCAGTTTAAAACATTCTTCTATCTGAACTGTAGCTACCTGCCACCCCACCCCACTATAGCATTAAAATCCTACGAAAATCTAAACATTCAATGCATCAAAAACGGTTACAACTCACATCTTCAATCTGCCATCACATTAAGCTCATATGCAGGGACGGATATAATTTCATGCTAGGGGAGGGAACAAATAAAATTTTAGGGGGGGGGGGCGAACTAATAAAATTTCATGGAGCGAAAACAGATTATCAATCAGAAAAACATAGAAAAAATCTAAAATATTGGATATTTTGAAATTTTCAGAGGCGACCCACCCACCCCTCGGTCCACCCCTGCTTATATGCAATTATGTGTCAATCAATAGCTAAGAAACTATGTACTCAACCCCATTTTCAACCTGATTCTAAACTAAAATCAAACCCATGCTTTCATCTTACCTCAAATTAAAAGAAAATATCTGGATAAGATCCAATCATACCAAGAACAACACCCAAAACATCAATTTTGGATTTATACAGTTTAAGCAAAGAAATCAAGGATATCCTCAATGCAGCTCCAATGGACATACAGAATCATTCAAAAAGATAAAACAAACATTTCCTTCAAAATTTTCAAAATATCCCTAATCTAATCAAATTTCCCAATGAAATAGAGGAGCATTTCTACAAAGTTTTCAACTTTTTCCTTATAAATTAAAAATTCAAACACCCAAAACATCAATTTTCAATATTTTTCAATTGAAAACAAAAAACAAAAAAATCAATAATTAAATAAAGGCGTACCGCAGATCTTTATGGGAGCTTCAAGTTCAAGAAGATTAGACTGTTGAAGAAAGATTTCTCTTGCAACAGTGCAAAGCTGGTGGATTTCACCTTCCAACAGCTGCACTTGCTTCCCTGGCCTCGCTTGTTTTAAATCCAATAACCGATGTATTATATCATCCAAAACCGCAGGTTCCATTGAAACAGATCCCATAATTTGGGCAAACTAATCAAAATATCTCTCCGACGACAAGAAGAAAAGCCAAATCCTTTGTTCTTCTCTTCCGAGTTTTTCCAAAACAGAGTTTTGATTTAATTTTGGGAATTCTTTGAAAATAACAGAGGCGAACGCCTGGCTTTCTTCTTAATTAATACTTTTTTCACTGCTAATACAATATATAAAAATGAATCAAAAAAACATTTCAAAATTTTTAATATAAGGGCGAAGGTGAGTTGCTGACTGAAACTCCGATGTGGCGGAGAAGCCTAAATTTTTATATGTTTGAAAATATTTTCGTCAGAGTCCATAAATCCGCTATTTATTGGGCCTTTGGTAAATAAAAGCAGTTGTTATTTATGATAAAATTTCGAAAAAGGCCCCTCCCTAATCCCTTCTTTTATTATTCTTAAATTGTCAAAACTATTTTGGTAATATTTTATTTAACTCATAAAGTGATTTTAATGGTAAAAAATATTATTATTTTATAAATTTTGAGTTTAAACAATCACATCTATAGGGTTAATCAAAAGAGTAAAGTACACAAATGGTATCCAAATTATAGGATATATCTTTTTTAAGTCATTCGATAATTAAAAGTTACAAAATGGTCTCCTAATTATAAGGTGTTATTTTGTTGAGTCCATCGACTATTCAAAGTTATAAAATGGTCACTTGACTATTCATTGTGTTCAAAACTCGTCATTTTCCGTGGAAAAAAATAACAGAGGTCTAAGCTAGACATTAACATGTTGATTGTGATATGATAGTCGTGTGAGATTATGAGATCAGATTTTATCATATCTTAATCGACGAGTTAATGTCCAACTCAGATTGTCGTCAATCTTTTAATGTAAAAAACGAGATTGGAACATAATGAATAGTTAGGTGACCATTTTGTAACTTTTAACAGTCGAGTGACTCAACAAAGCAATACATTATAGTTGGGGGCCATTTTGTTACTTCAAATAGTTGGGGGACTCAATAAAACAGTATCCTATAGTCGGGGCACCATTTGAGTACTTTACCCTAATTGAAAATAACATCGACAACAACAAACCTAAAAATTTGAGTGGATAGATTAGCTTTGTTCGATTTAGATTGATCCTATTAAGATGTAGCCTTTAAAATATGTTTTCTTGTATTAAGATTGACAATTTATCGAATATTTAAAGTTCAGTTATTATAGACATTAATCTACTGAGTACCGTTTATCTTAATCTCTTCTGTCTATTTTATAATTTATAATCAAATATTATGATTAATTATCTCAGCAATATTGGATTCAAGATTCGAACATCTTTTTCTTTCAAAATACAATAAACCTTTTAACTACACTAACACTTATAACTACCACTCTACCTAACCTGAATATGTATTGACATTCTCTGTTGCTGCTTACTTCTTGGGGTGTTTGATTCACATAATATAAAATTATTTCTAGAAAAAAATTATTAGAATGTAACATTACTCTAAAAATATTATATTATCTTTTTTCATTTTTAGGGGTATTTTTATAATAAGTGACGAGAATTGTATAATACTTAAGAATTGAAGGTAATGACACTCCCACAATTTTAATAAAAAAATATTATTATTAGTAATAAATTATTACATAATAATTATCTTTTTAATAAACCAAACGTGAAAATACAATCCATAAAATATTATTTTCTTTAATAATAATTTTTTCGCGAACCAGATCATTGCAATTGCCGTTCTGCCAACATGGCTGCCCATAATCTTGCTCAGTATGCTTTATTTATAGTTAAGCCGGTTTATTATGTATACAATTATCTGTATGCATTTTAGATGTATTCCTTACTTATGTCATTTACGGTTAATGTTATAGAATCTGTTTTGTATTTTTTTTTAAATGAAGTAATCATTTACCAGATTATGGACCAGATGTTCTGGTACCATAATCATGAATCACGACATTGCTTCGATATAAGTTTAAATAAACGATGAAGTATTGAGTCAAATGACTTGCGTGTGATCCTGTAACGCGCATGCTTATCGGGCCGCCACTTGGTTTGATTCTCCATCAGCCTTACGTCTCAAAGGAAATGGACAGCACGTTCAAGTTTGTTATGCAACGACCGCTATTTGTTCATGCCACCATTGATATCTTGCAATATATCATGGTTATTTTATTTTTTTGGTCCAACAGCCCAACTCTGACTCCTTAAATATCAATACTTATACCTTTCAATTCTCACGTCCATTGGCTTCAAATAAGGCCAACTAGGGTTCCTTTCTAATACCAGCTTCCCACTTAAAAATTCCAAATTACCACTTTTGAGGATACACATGTTGAGAAGTGCAAACGTAAAACCAGGCTTTTTCATTTAATTGTTACTAACAAATGCATGGTTGTTCAAAATATCACAAGCTTTCTTATCACAACTAAGTAAATGAATATGTATTCTACATGTGTGTGCGTCTCTCCCTCGGCCAAAAATTGACAAAAACCAAATAAGGGTCTACTTCATAGCAAATATTTGTTTACATTCTCAAATATAACCTGTCACCCATTTAAGTAGAACAGCATCCTTTCTTAATGTTTCCTGATGTATCGTTGACATTGATGGTAGTCCTTGGCCAGGAATTGCGGTACTAGCTGCTGCTTCCTGTGCTGCCAATGCCTCTTTGCTAATGATATGGTAGATTTCATTCAATATAGTATGGAATGCCTTCTCAATGTTGGTTGCTTCCAGAGCACGACCATCCTCCTCAGAAACAGCTCAGAGATGATTCAAGTCAGATTTATTTCCGGCCATCATGATGACAATGTTAGAATCAGCATGGTCCCTCAATTCGCGAAGCTACCTTTGAACATTATCAAAGGTTTGCCTCTTCGTTATGTCATAGACCAGAAGTGCACCAACAGCTCCTCTGTAGTAAGCACTAGTAATAGCTCGATATCTCTCCTGTCCTGCTGTATCCCAAATATGTGCCTTAACCGTCTTTCTTATGAGTGTTCTAAATCGATAATATTTACTTGCTAATTCTTCGATCTTATGAATTTATTGCTTCTGATTTGGTTTTATTATGCTTTATTTTTGTGCAGGATCTTACTTTCCGGAATTAGCAGTAAAAATGCATTTTGTATTTTTTTTATTATTTGGTCACAGATGGAGACATAGGCATTACTCTGGGCATGACACAGTTTGACATGGCAGTTTCTAGAAGGTCCAGTCAGCAGCAGTTAACTAGAAGATCTAGTAAGCACCTTTTGGAAGGTGGACGGGCAGAAATATCTTAGGAGATTTATTTTTAATTTTAAAGTTTGAATTTGGAAAACACTTGGAGTTATATTTAGGATTATTTTTCTTTTAATTTCTATGTTTATCTTAGGATTTTAGAGGCTATAAATACCCTCTCAAGCTAAGCCTAAATACACAATTCAGATTTCATTCTTCTTCTTACTTATGGTTTTATAAAGTTCTTCTTTTCTTTATTTTCAAGTTTTCATTTTTATTTTATTTTAAGTTTTATTTTTAAACATGCTAAGTATGACTTTTGTCATGTTTAGCTAATTTTCTTATAAGCCGAAAGGCTAAGCGATGACTCAATTTAATATGTGAGAATTGAAAAGCACTTAACATCTTCAAGATGTCACTCTCAGTTTTCTGACAGACTTGGATAGGTAATCGACCTATCCTTGAAAATCAAAACACTTTCTTTTCAAAAAATCGACGTTGGTCAAGATGTTTTTATGATTTAAAGTTGAGAGGAAAGATCGACGAATAGCAAATCCGACTTCTTGTGAACACACTTAGCGGAATTTCGCTAAGAGAAATTGAGATCAGGTTCGATTCTTAGAGAGACAACATAATCCGAGTCGGGCTTTTCCTAAACTAAAATTGTTTTTGCATTAACGACGATTGTCGTAGTTGGTTCAATTAAAAGATGGGTTTTCAAATATTAGCTTTGGGAAAATCGGTTACCAAAGTGAGAAGCAAGTTACATGAATAATGCCTTGTAGACTGTAACCGACGTAAATCCCGAAGTGAAAATCCAATTTTGATGATCATAAACGAATTGAGTCAAAGCGATGCCTGAGGCTACTTTTTACTATAATTGTTTTTCAAATCTTTGTTTACTTTTTTTATAAGAATGTTAGGCCTCGTTAAAAACTCCCTTCTTGATTAATGGAGCTTGCAGGAAAGCTCCTTAATCAGCGGGAGGAGGAAAAGAGTGCCTTAAGATTATATTCATCATAATAAATTACATAGGAATAACAAGAGAAACCCCCTAACAAAAACAGGAAACCAAAAACAACTTTAAACAACCATAAACAACAAACAAACTCAGCCTATGCCTTCTTTAGCTAAGGCATCAGCCTCTAAGTTGGATATCCTATTTACCCATCTAACAACACCTTCAAAGCCTTTAAGCCTATGAACAATATCTTTAATCATGAAAACATACACATCAGGACATAATTCAACCTCCTTGATCCAATCCACTGCCACCTTACTGTCACTCTCAATAATCAAACGGTCTTTGATCCGCTCACGAAAATTAGCATAGAAAGATAACCCCTTAAGAATAGCTTTTAAATCCATCAAGGTGGGAGACCCCGGACCAGCAGATTCTTTGAAAGAACCTATAGTCAATCTTGAGGAATCTTTTAAAACTCCTCCTAACCCGCTTTTCTTCCAATCCCTTGTAGTAGCATCATCAACATTTAATTTTACAAAGCCCTTAGGAGGAGGAGACCAAGGAAATATAGATGCAATGTGATTATTGTGGAGAGCACAAGAGTCTCCCAAGGACGGATTGAAATAAGTGAGTCCTTAGGAATAGACACCTCTTTATGCTTTGCTAAGAACCAAGAAGCAAACCTAAACCTTGCTAAAAAGAAATATTCTACCTTGTCTAACTTTCCCCCTTCAAACACGACAAAATCCCTAATTTTCCAAGTGGTCCAAAGAACGACTCCTGGAATAAAAGGCCATATCAGTGAGTTTGTCTTCAAACCATCCCAAGCTAGAAAGAAGCCTTTAGCATCAACAGGTAAAATAGAACTAATCCTCAAAAAATTTAAAAATTTATTCCAAAGAGACCACACCACCGAACAAGAGAAAAACAAATGAGAGGGAGACTCATCCACTATCTTACAAAGAGGACATAACACGTCTTCAATTCCCTTAACTCCTCTTTTGACAAGTTTTGTCCTAACAACCAGCTTCCCATGAACAATCTGCCAAAGAAATATCTCCACTCTTGGAGGCAACAGACCTCTCCAAATAATCTTCTTCTAAAAATAAAACTCCTCCAATCCCAAAGAATCCGATGAGCAGAGATTAACATCAGATCTTACAGTAAAAACCCCATCCCAGTACCTTTCCAAATCAAGCCATTAGAAATTTCCAATGATAGTGAAAAATTTGAAATGACAGCCAACAAGTGAGACTACTGTTCAAGTTCCCAGTCATTGAGATTCCTTCTAAACTTCACATCCCAAATCTATACGAAAGAGATATACTCCCCAAATTCAAATAATTTCCCATTCTTATTTGAGGAAATAAAGAAGTCTTGGGAAGACGACGAAAAGTGGATGATCCAAAGCCCAAATATCTTGCCATAACCGAATAGTTTTATCATCCCCAACTTGATAACTGCACATACTTCTAAACTTAGCGCCAAAAGAGTCTTATTTGAAATGATTGTTTAGAACTGATCTCCAAATCCAGGATACTTTAGGTGGAATCTTACTGTCAAAAAGTAAAACTGAAAAATCCAGTGTATATTTGGCACAAACAACTTCCCTCCAAACTGAATCCCTATCATTGGCAAACCTCTAAGACCATTTCCCTAAAAGCTCTATTCATCAAGTTTAGATTCAAAACTCCTAAACCCCCTTCACTCTTTGATTTGCATACATTAGACCAACTAACCCAATGAATTTTCCTATTGTCGTTTCCCCCTCCCTATAGGAAATTGGACATAATTGAGATAAGGGTTTTAAGAACCGAAGATGGAATTTTAAACATGGACAAAAAATAAGTTGGAAGCGAACATAGAACCTCCTTAATCAACACTAATCTCCCTGCTAAAGAAAGAGAGGTTGCCTTCCACCCAGTAAGTTTTTGAAAAAATTATTAATAACTGGATCCCAAAGAGCTGCAGAATTTCTACTAGCACCAAAGGAAACCCTAGATTTTCTGAAGGAAATCTGCCAACTGAACATCCAATAGTTGTAGCCCATTCCAGTAGTTCCTCATCATTCACATTAACACTAAACAATTTACTCTTCTTCAAATTCAGATGTAAACCAGAAATCACTTGAAACACTCGAAGCACCCTCTTGACATTCAAAATTTGCATTTTCGAAGCACCACAAAATATGATCAAATAATCAGCAAACTGTAAATGGTATACATTAACAGACCCTTGTTCCCTGCCAATCACTATTCCATAAAATAAGCCCTGTGAGACAGCCCTACATATCAATAAATTGAGTAGCTCCCCTAAGTTAAACAACAATGGTGACAAAGAACAACCCTGTCGAAGACCTTTTTCCATTGAGAATTACTCGGAAAGAACTCCATTAACTATGACCGAAACAGAAGTTGTGGTTACACACTTCCTAATCCAGCCCCACCATCTGGAACCAAATCCCATTTTCTCCATTACTTTAAATAAAATAGACCAATCAATTGAATCATAAGCTTTTTTTGAAATCAACCTTGAAAACAGAGCCCTTGAGTCCATTTTTCCTCCAAAAATCAACTCTTTCATTAGCAATTAGAGAACAATCCAAAATTTGTCGATCGGGAATGAAGGCAAACTGAGTTGGACCCTTAATCGCCTCAAAAGACACTTGGAGATGATCTTATACAATCCACCAACTAGGCTAATAGGTTTATAGTCATCTAAACCGCCAATGTTAGAGACCTTTGGAATGAGAGTAATAAAGGTATGATTAACACTATGTTTCCAATCTTTCCCCAAGTAGAAATTATGAAAGAACTTCATAATATCTTCCTTGAGGACATGCCAAAACCTTTGAAAAAGCCCATATTTAAACAATCCGGTCCCGGAGCCTTATTACTATCACAAGACATTAAAGTTTCCCATATTTCCTCTTCTGTAAATTCATTCTCTGAACACAATTCTGCTCTATTGAAATACTAGGAAAATTCAACCTTAATTCTTCCACTTCTAACGTCGAATGTTCATTAAAAATTTTAAAGAAGTGGTCTTTGACAGTGGCCTTAATAACTGACGGATCTCGAATAACATTTCCACTAATATTCAGAGCATTCAAAGCATTCCTCCTGTTCCTAATTGAAGCATAATTATGGAAAAATCTTGTATTTCGATCCTCATCTTCTACCCATTTTGATTTGGAATTTTGGAACCAAATATGCTCCTCTATCTTATAAAGTCTCCACAATTCTGTTTTTTGATGAATTCAACTCTGTTGTTTTTCAATATTTAAACCATCCTGTACATGTTGGATATCCACTTCTAACTTACGAATCCTCAATTCTAAATCTGAAATACAAGCCCCTTAAAACTGATCTCTCTTGCCTGCCCAATTCTTGATAGATGTTTTTGTTTTTTTCAGAATACTATAAATTTCAGCTTTCCTCTGAAGTTTCTTACAATCTTGAATAGAAGAGCTAACCAAATCCTCAAACCCATCTTCATCCATGAGATAATTAAACAGTTTAAAAGGTTTTTTTACCCCAATTGATACCCCCATTTTCCAGCAGTAATGCATTATGATCTGAAAGAAAACATGGCAATAAATATTGAACAATATCAGGAAAGATAGCTAGAAATTGACCATCAACCAAAAACTGGTCCAATCTAACATAAGTAGGAGTATCTTGGTTATTGCACCAAGTAAACCTACTCGTATTCAAGGGTAGATCAATTAAACATGTTTGAAGCATAAACTGTTTGAATATTCCCATTGAATTCTTGTTTTGAGCCATTCCAACCTTCTCTTCTTCATGTAGATAAACATTAAAATCCCCACCTACACAAATAGGAGCACTATGTCCACCTATGAATATACTCAACTTTTTTTAAAAAACTAGTTTTTTCCTCCTCCACTGAAGGTCCATAAACTGATGAATATACAGCTGAAATTATTGACTCAAAATTTTCCTGATAAAACAATGAATCTTCTACAAATATACTGATTTTCCAATTCGAAAATTTTATCATCCCAACAACTCAGTAAACCCCCTGATGAACCAACTGATGGAGATTGAATAACACCTTCAAAATTAGTCAACCCCTTTATTCTAAGAAAAGATCTTGAAATCTTCTCCATTTTAGTTTCTTGCAGCCAAAGAAACTGGGGATGATTTTTATCAAGTTAACATTCCATGAAACAATGAGTAACTGAATCTTCATCACTAAATAAACATCAATCTAACCCCCATCAAGATCACCTTGATTGACCATATTCAAATCTTTCTCCAAGCTGATAATCTTTTACAAAAAGCCTCATTCCCTAGCTTAAAGGAAACCCCCAAAAGCTTGCTTATTTCCCAAGTTGCTAGGGCTTCCTCCATTGCATTCGAAAAAGCTAAAGATGAAACTGTTGAAATGCTCACTTGTTCCAATGCTTCCCTTATCAGGTGTCTTTTAGCTATTCTGATGTCAAAACCATAAATTAAGCTTGTGCTCTCTCCTATTAACAACCCTCCATCAACCTCCGTATCCACTGTCTGTTGAATAGCTTTTGAAGACTGATCTTCCCCTTCCTTATTGATTAATTCATCATCTCTTTCAGGCATAAAATTCAAAACGCTCCCAAACCAGTATTTTCTGCCCCTAGACCTTTTATAAACCCTTTTATAGCTGCTCATTCTTCTTCTCCCTAACGGTACACTTTTTGATGACAACAATCTTCTATTTCTGCACTGAGTTCTCCCCCTTGAAAAGCTTTCTGCCATATTAGTCCTTGGATCTAACAACATTAGCTCCGATCCAATAAGCCCTAATCCAGCCTGAACAAACTTCTCTGAATCTGACTTTTTCCCCTATTCATTATTAATATCTCCAGACTTAGCTGAATTAAGCTTGTGAATCATTCTCCCAAACTTGTCAATTTTAATTGCTAGACTAGCTGGAATTATTTTTAAAACATTAAGCCCAGAATGTCCCTCATCATCTGATTGGGCCTGTGATCCATCAGATGAAAATTTTGAATTTCTAAATCCTAACCTGGCAAATTCACCCACTTTTATACTCCCAATATTTTGACTTTCTGACAGCCTACAATTAATGTCATTCCTATCTATGGAAAATCTTGGAAGCCATTTTTCCCCACCAACTCCTCCCCCAGAACCAAGAAAAGCTCCATTGTCAAACCAATTGTCAACTCTCTGCCGAATTGCTTCTGCTGAACAGGTTGTATCTTTCCCACTTTCTGAAAGCAATTTGACTTCTTCCTCTACAGTCATCTTCTCTCCAAAATGTCCCCCACCGTAATCTTTCACCGGAGAATTACTGAAAAATGAACTTGAAGACTCGCACGCCGATCCAACCTTGATACACACTTTAAATGATCTTCCATATGATCCGAGAGTAATCACCTCCGAAACATCAAAACAGCTTGCCACCCTCAATAAAATTTTCGCCCTTGTGAGGTCTTCTTTTTTCCTAGTGGCATCATGAATTTCAACCACGATTCCCCATCTCCCTTATATTTGTTCGAAGAAATGATCATTCCAGTATAATAGAGGGACCCCAATTAATTTCACCAGACAAAAAGCTATTGGGACTCCCTCTTCATTCAACAATGGTGCCAAACGATCAAACCATAGTTCTAATTATTCTTTCCTCTTCAACCATATATCCAACATCTCTTCAGAAGATTTAAAGACTATAACACAAGAATTCCATACATGTCCCCATCTAACAATTTGGACTTCATAGCCATCATTAAGTAAAGCCTTCTGAACTAACTCAATCTGAAAGGAATGTTTAATTATCCCTGTTAATGACCTTTTAACCCAACTTGAGTTTTCGGAAGGAATATGCATTTCCAAAATATTTTTCTTCACTTTCCCCCTATGAAGATCATCGATGAAGTCGCCCTGCTCCCCATTGCACTTCTGTTTAACAACAAAGCATCTTTATAAGTTCTATCGTCCCTAAAACTTTTGTTTAAGTCTTATGCCTCTTTTGAATTTGATGTTTCTGCGATATTCTGGCTGAGAACCTTCTTTGAGGCAATATTCTTCCACACTATCCATGAGGAAGCATCCTTGTATCTTGTTGGACGAACTGTAATCTGCCTCTCATCTATCAATACACCATTTAATTCATTGACTGCCCTCTTTAAACCTGCCTCACTCTTAAATTGAACAAAAGCAAAGGTTGAAAATTTGTATTTTGGATTCCTAATTTCTTTGGGAATGAAAACTCTCTCAATCAGACCATGGACTAAGAAAATTTCCCTTAAAGTACGGCGAGACACCCTCCTACTAAGATTGTCGATAAACACCGTCCAGTTCTCATCGAAAACTGACTTAACTTTAAACTTCTCTCTCTCTACGTTTTTCTCTTTCTCACTTACCCCATCTAGCAATTTGGACTTCATAGCCATCATTAAATAAAGCCTTCTGAACTAACTCAATCTGAAAGGAATGTTTAATTATCCCCGTTAATGACCTTTTAACCCAGCTTCCTTATTCAATCATTTTAATTCAAAACCCCTCCATTCTATTTACTACATATATCCTGGTTTAAGCAATTCAAACAGAAATTTGAGAATTTTTCTAAGTCCCTGAGGATCAACCCTTACTTCTCTTTGTTACGTATTTCTTATATTTTATTGGGAAGAAAGAATTTATTTTGACATCAAAACGATAGTTGTCACTTTCCCTCAACCTATACCCAAGAAAACAATAGCAAAATATGAGCCAACAAAAATTTACAACACTGTATCACCATGATTGCTAATTAACAAAGAACCCAAAGAAGGTTTCAGTGAATCTAATATGACATGCTGGAAAACACAAGAAACTGTTGTTGTTTTCATAGCCAAATGCTCAATTATGTCATACCAATAATATATATATACATAAACACTTCCTATTATCATAAATGAGAATAAAACAACATAAGAACCACTTGGATTAATACAATAATGGAGAGAAAGAAAGATTGCAGACTAGATGTTTACTTGTTTTCTCACTAACAAAAAAACTTCTCGTCCTTCCGGCTTAGTTGCTTGGCTAAATAAAAGATTTTGCTAGAGTGGGTAACTTTTAAGCTTCTATATATAGAAATATCTTACCCAATATATTGGAAATTATGATTGAAGTCAACAACCACTTCATTTAATACAATATTTGTTACTTTAATAGCTTTGATGATCATCACTATCCAGTTATCTTTTCTCTCACCTTACTACAAAACATTCAAAATGAACTTCCAAGTTACAATCATAGTACGGAAGATAGCGGTAGGATTCGTCAGTCTATCTATTAAGATGACTTTCTATTTACTAATCACAATCAACTTAAACATGCTAAAATTTCAGGAACTAAATCAGATCAGAGGTATACACACACTTCAAAACGTCAATGGTGAATAAAACTTTCTTTACACAAATCAATTTTAGCAGAATAAAAAAAAAAATTATTAAAAAAAACATACATTAAAATGAATAAAAGAGGAATAGACTGAATAGATGAAAAACCTGGAGGGTCCTAGTAGCGAACTCGACGCCAATAGTGGATTTAGATTCCAAATAAAACTCGTTTCTGGTGAACCTAGAGAGAATATTTGATTTTCCAACTCCAGAATCGCCGATCAACACAATCTTAAAAAGGTAATCGTACTCGTGATCTACTCTATGCGCCATTTTACCCTCCTTTTCTCTATATTTTTATCTCTTCTCTCTCAGACCTGGAAGATCCAAAAAATCAATCAATTCCACAGGAAAAAACCGATAAAAATCTTGAAATGAATGAACTTACACATAGTGGATAGATCGAGAAGAGAAAATTATCAAAGTGAAAATCAGATAATTTTGGGGGTAAAAAGAAAATAGATGCATTGAAAAAATGGGGGGGGGGAAGTAAAATCTAGTGGAAGGAGTCGGAAAATACAATGCGATCGGAGAAAGGCAGAAAAGGAGGGCCAGGGGCTTTTATTTTGATGATTTTCTGTTTTATATAGGCAATCGAGATATTCTCCATTTTCACCGCCAAAACGGGATCGTTTGAACGGTAGTTTTGTGAGAGACAAATTTTCTCTTCCTTTTACATGCATTGATCGGTCATTTATAGTGGAAGATTTTGATTTGGTTTCAACTCCATCGTCAACTCTAGACCGAGAGTTAGCTAGTTGTTCTAATACTTGGTACTCATCAGTCTCAGAATTTTCCTTTTATTTATAAGAAGACCATTTCATTTCTTATTTTGTTAATTTCTCTCAAGATAATACAATAATTATTACTAAAGATAATGCTCCAAAACAACATCATTAATATTATATTAATTATCATAAGTAAAAATAAAAACAGAAGAACATGATATAAACACCACTGCAAATAAATTTTAATATAGAAATTATTGAGTTAAACTTTAATATTTATAAGAGCAAAGAAATCGAAAATCTTTGTCGTCCCAAAATATGTTTAATATGGAAATAAAATCTTATTTTGATATAATAAGATTTTTTTCCTTTTCTTCTATTTGCATTATCCAACAATATTAACAGAGGAAATCGATGATATTTCATGGCAGATATCAACTTGTCTTGTCTAATGTGATCAATTCAAAATCTGATTATTGATATATTTCAAATTTTCAAAGTTTTCTTTACTTATATGGAAGATCATTTCATTACTTAATTGTCCCTAAATTTCTCTAAAAAATATATTAAGCGATATATGATACCGGAATATATGTATATATAAGATACCAACCTGTATGTGCATAACCAACAATGGCCAGTTACAGGTTCCATCTGTTTCTAAACATTTCCCTCGTCCTCATACTAATCAAGAGTCAATCTTCCATAGCTGCTAATGATGATAGAAAGGCAAGTTCTGCCTTTGCAGCTTAACATTGGTTTCATATGCAATGAACATGGACCATGGTGACCCTTTGATTGTATACGATTAAGATAATTATTATAATGTCGATGCAGGCTTACGTTGTTTATATGGGATCGGCTCCTGAGGATGAATATTTGACAACTTCGATGCAAACAAGTATACTTCAACAAGTTATCAAGCAAAGAGTTTCAATGGCAGATTCCTTGATCAGAAGTTACAAAAAGAGTTTCAATGGATTTGCTGCTAAGCTCACTGATGAGGAGGCAGAAGAACTGGCTAGTAAGTGATTTTCAACTGCAGTTATTAATGGAGGTTATGGTTGTAAATGATTTTGATACGGACCACTTTATGTTAAAACTATACTTTGATGTATTCAGGCTTGCAAGGAGTAGTCTCTGTTTTTCCTAACCGAATTCTCCACCTTCAGACAACAAGATCATGGGATTTTATGGGTTTTAGTAATACTGTTAGACGAAATCCGAGCACTGAGAGCGATGTCATTATCGGTGTCATTGATGGTGGGATCTGGCCTGAGTTACCTAAGAAATGGAAGGGTGCTTGCAGGGGTGGCAAAAATTTCACTTGTAACAAGTACATTATTACCTTCAGAATTTTCTCTCCTTGTTAGTTGATAATTTCACATCTTGTGACTTAATTTGCTAGATATGATCTAACTGGACATGCTTTCTCCTGCAGCAAGATCATTGGCGCTCGGTTTTATACCTCATCGCCATCTTCAGAGGCGTCTGCAAGAGATGAGGTGGGTCATGGAAGCCATACTGCGTCTACAGCTTCTGGGAATGCGGTAAAGGCTGCCAGTTTCTTTGGACTTGCACAAGGTACAGCAAGAGGAGGGGTTCCCTCTGCAAGGATTGCTGCATATAAAGTTTGCAGTCTGCAAGGTTGTGAGTCAGTGGATATATTGGCAGCTTTCGAGGATGCAATTGCCGATGGAGTTGATATTTTAACAGTGTCACTAGGATCATCAGATTCAAAGGACTTATTTGATGATGTCATTGCCATCGGTTCTTTTCATGCAATGGTGAAAGGAATACTTACCGTAAATTCTGCAGGCAATAATGGTGCAGCAGGACCACTTGCGGTTTCTAGTGTATCACCATGGATGCTTTCTGTTGCAGCAAGCACCACAGATTTCAAAATCTTAAGCAAGGTCGTTATTGGGAATGACCAGACCCTAGATGTAAGTATCAGAAACTCGATCGATCTTGTTTCTCATTATCAATGCCAAACATATATACTTTATGACGTTATCTTTGATCCAACAGGGTTTTTCGGTTCATCCCTTCACTTTCAAGGGAAAAAGCTGCCCATAGTATACGGACGTGATGTCTCGAGAACATGCTTTCCAAATGAAGCTAGGTTGGTTCAACTTAACATGTTAAATTTCATTTGTTCCAATATAGAAGAATCATTAAAATAACCAAAAAAGGTTCCTTTCACTTCCAGGATGTGTAGTGAATCATGCCTTGATAGTCGTCTAGTGAAAGGAAAGATTGCAGTGTGTGATCAATTTATAGGCAATTTTGAAGCTTATAATGCGGGTGCTGCTGGAGCGATTGTACTGAACGATCAATCTGACAATGTTTCTTTTGTTACACCGTTGCCTGCATCTGCTTTAAACGTTAGAAATTATGATTTGGTCATGTCCTACATGAACTCAACCAAGTATGTTGTATGCTAAATTGTTCATTTTTATAGTGTGGCTAGCATCCATTCCGGCTTGGTTGAATAACTTGATTTCCACGTTTTACGTTATAGGAATCCTGTTGCAGAAATATTGAGAAGTGAAATCATTAAAGATTTGTATTCTCCAGTGGTTGCTCAATTCTCTTCCCTTGGGCCAAATTTCATCGTGCCAGATATTCTGAAGGTAAGCATTAACACATTTTCCTTTTGGCGACTCGAAGCAGATTTCGAACCTTCGACCTAATCGAATGAGCAAGGAAACTATCTATGATATTGCCCTTATAGTGCTCTTCATTTTGTACAGCCAGATCTAACGGCCCCGGGTGTGGACATTTTAGCTGCATTTTCACCAATTGGTTCACCCAGTGAGACACCAGGAGACCAAAGGCAAATCAAATACAATGTCATGTCCGGAACCTCAATGGCTTGCCCTCATGTTGCTGGTGTAGCTGCATACGTTAAATCATTTCACCCTGATTGGTCTCCTTCGGCCATCAAATCTGCTCTCAGGACGACTGGTATAATAACGTTCTTGGTTATCCATGTTTAAGACAAAACTACATTCATGTCTTAATATATATTCGTCTGGTGTTTTTCTCTCTCTTTTTTTTTGGTAGCTTGGCCAATGGACAGATCCAAAAACCCAGATGGTGAAATTTCATATGGATCGGGCACATCAACCCCGCAAAAGCCATTGATCCTGGACTTGTTTACGAAACCCTCAACGAAGAATACATAAAACTGATGTGCAGTTTGGGATACACGCCAGATAATATAAAACGAGTTTCAGGGAACAGCAGTTCTTGCCCTGAAGGTTCTAAAAATGTCCCACTGAGGGATCTGAATTATCCTTCATTGACAGCTTCAGTTGCAGCTAACAATCCTTTCACTGTTAGTTTTCATAGAAGTGTCAAGAATGTTGGCCCTGCAAACTCCGTTTACGGTTCAAGTCTCTCCGAACACAGGACTTGAAGTTAAAGTGGTGCCTGACGATTTGTCTTTCAAGGCGTTGAATGAGATGAAAGCTTTTGCTGTGACTGTTAATGGTGGAGGTTTAAGAAACGAGTCGATGGTGTCGACGACATTGATCTGGTCGGATGGAACTCATACTGTGACAAGTCCAATTGTTGTACATACACATCCTAGTATACGGTCCAATGTTTGATATTTTGGTTAGACTTCTTGTCTGGTTTTCATCATTTTCAAGTCTCCAAATAGCCTTGTTTATTTAATAATAAAAATAATAATTTATTATTAATTAGTATCTAATATTTTATTTAAATATTTTTTATTAATAATGGCTTGCAAATACATATATATATATATATATATACTCTTTTATTTGATAAAAATAATGTTGTAAATAATTTGTACATATATTAAAAAATATTTAGTAATTAAATGTATTAATGTAATCTTTCTAGGATTTTAATCACTTTTCAATACGTATTATATATTATAAAATAGATTTTTCAAGAATTAAAGGTTGCTCTCGGGCATTTTACTTCAGAACGCACCGTTTCTTTTTGCTTGGACTTGGGAGCATTTTACTCCGCCTAAACCCTTCACGTTCTCATATTCTTCAAGCTCTAATGGCAACTCGCGCCTTTTTAAAATCAAAGTTTCCAATTTTAACGGCGATCCTCCTTCAGAACCTCACAAAAAACGGCATAACGAGATCTCCGTTTCTTCTAAAACCTCAGATTTCACGTCTACTACCCGTTATCCACAAACCAATTTCAGGGTTTAAGCAATATCATGATGGGAGACCAAGAGGTCCCCTTTGGAGAGGTAAAAAGCTGATAGGGAAAGAAGCCCTTTTCGTAATATTGGGTTTAAAGAGATTTAAGGATGATGAAGATAAACTTAAAAAATTTATCAAAACCCATGTTTTAAGGCTGTTGAAGATGGATTTGATTGCGGTTCTTTCAGAGCTTGAACGCCAAGAGGAGACTTCTCTGGCTGTGAAGGTACTCGCATTTTTCACTTCTATTGATTTTTTTTTTTAATTTTTCTTATTTGGATTGTATCTTAAATCTGTCGGATTCGTAATTTTTTTTTTAGTTTAAGTGAATTGAGATTGCTTTTATTCTGTTCGATCAAATGCTCGAAAAAGATTTTGATATTTTTTTGGTGAGCATTGAATTTCCGGGCCGTTAGCTTGAGAATTGCAATGGCTTTTTTGCTTTGAAATGATATATTTAATTTATATAGTTTTTGAGAATGAGAATGGGTGTTTATAATGTTACATACAAAGAGAACTTAATCGGGATTTTTCCCCTTAGTGAAGTAGATCAGGTTGTTTCTGAGTTATGACATCTTATTCTTGGATTTTAATTTTGCTGAATTTCCAGGTTTTTGAGGTGATTCAAAAGCAGGACTGGTATAAACCTGACGTTTTTCTGTATAAGGACTTGATTATTGCATTAGCAAAATGTAGGAAAATGGATGAAGCAATGAAGTTATGGGAATCTATAAAAAAGGAAGATCTGTTCCCTGATTCTCAGACATACACCGAGATCATTAGGGGCTTCCTGAGGGACGGATCTCCTTCCGATGCAATGAACATATATGAGGATATGATTAAATCTCCAGACCCACCGGAGGAGTTACCATTCAGGATTTTACTAAAAGGGCTTCTCCCACACCCTCTTTTAAGGAACAAAGTTAAGAAAGATTTCGAGGAGCTCTTTCCAGAAAAGCATGCGTACGATCCTCCGGAAGAAATTTTTGGCAGATGCTGAGGTTTGTAGAGGGACCTTTGCTCTTTCCAGTTTTTGAGTTTTCTTTCTTTCATTTTAAGAAATAACAGCTATAACCAGTGACAATGTGTTAACAGTTTTTAGTGTAGTTTGGTTCTAATTCATTAAGAAAGATTTATGTATGCAAGCAGCTAACTTAATTAGGTCAACTATGAAACCATCAACTTAAACTTACCCCGGCTTGGCATCAGCCATTACCGCAGTTGAACTAGTGCCACTTCTTCACTCAAATGTATTATTTGTTTGGTGAATCTATCCATAGCCTGTGTCCTAGTGTTTGGCTGCATGGATCATCTAGGATCATCGTGATCTTTATCGGTTTGGGTGAGGACCGGGACTTGTGAATCGTAATGTTTAATGAATAGTTTTTGTTTCAATGTGATTAATTAATTACTCAATGCAATCAATCATTTGCTTGTAATGCAGTTTTCCAGTCAACAAATGCACTGAATGGATTGCACTCTTATATTATATGACATGTATTTCCTTCTTTGATTCAATCTTCCATGTTTTCTAGGGCGTTAAAGGAGTGATCTTAGGCACATGGGGATGCTGGGCACCCACAGGGTTTTACAAGGAAGAAGCAAAGAATGAGTTATTCCATTGAAGAACCTATACTGGTCTCATGTTCAGATATTGAATGGTCTTCATGTTGTCTTGTGTCATTGAGTTCTCTCACCTTAGAATGTGATGTACCTTATATTTATATCATTACACAATGTTTTATCGTTGTACCTATTTATTGAAATAATATTTTTTTGTTTAATTAGATCAAAAATATATGTTTTTAACAACTATAATCAACAGAATTTACTAGTTACATGATTCTTTTCAACACGGTGAGACTTAAGATTCAAGCTCTCGTCAAACAAAATTCCAGCATGCTATCTCATCCATAACGTCCCAACACGAAATCATCATGGCTGAAAATGATCATAACACGGGGATGTTTTTGCCAAAAATTTCGGTCAAACTATCACTATTTCAATTTGCTGAGCTGACACATCAACTTTATCTATATGAAAATATGAATATTCTGTTGAAGTAGACATTTCAAAAGAATCTTATATTTCTAGTGTAATTTTTTATTATTTTAATTTAAATGCACATAATTGTTATTAAACTTATAAGAGTAAAAATAGGAAATAATTTCGTAGACATAAAATCTAGACTCAACATGTATAACATCTTTAATAATTTTAGGTTTCCATGGTATTATAAAATAGCATATTCTACATATTTTGGCCTCACTTAAAGCAAATCCAAGTCCTAACCTAATATTGGTTATTTTAGGCATAAAACAGCACTAACTTTGCTCTTTAAATAACATGTTATTTGCTTGTAATATATGTGATCCGAACCCCACCTCACATGATATCATAAAATCCCCCAATTGAAAGCAATTCCTCAAAGAAGCTTGAGATTTGGATAAGAGATGTTTTATTCTTGATGGAAAATCTGGGCCCTTTTCTTAATTCTCCTCATTCAACCCATTTAGTGACAGACAGCTAAAAAGGAAAGCATACAAGGCAAAAGGGTATTTGGTGACGCCTTTTAGTAATCTTCATGACACTATGATTAATCGAGTACCACTTTAGTATCAACTTTGGTGATTAAAAGAGAACAATTAAAGGTCAACTATTAAGGGCACAATGAAAGAGAAAGGTCGAGTGGGGCGAAATTATACAACCTTATCTAGTCATCTTATGGCCATGTGGGTCAAAATAATGGAGATTTCTTCAAATTTCTCTTTTAACTCAAGAAGCTAAATCCAAAAAAATTATTCTCCAAATTTGAATTTTACAAGTTTGATTCATGTAATAACTTTTAAAAATAATATGATATCTATAGAGAAAAAAATTGAATTTTAATATCTACTACTTTTTTTCTTAATTCTGTAGCATATGCCTCCTTTGTGAAAAGGAAAATACATGAAGGGCATTATTCACTAGAAAAAGGAAAGGGTCAAGAAATATGTTTAACTTGGGTTTGTTTTTGACCCTATAGAGCAAGAGAGGCTACATTTATCCATTAGGGTACATATGGCAGTAAATGGTACGCCTGTTGGGATGCCAAGTGGACCACTCGTGCTACTTATCCCTCATGTTTATTGTTGGGGGGAAAAATGTAAGATTGATAGTATATGCACAGAACCAATTTTGCATTAGAGGAAACTTCAGGAGGGGAGGAAATTCCTTCACATCTTTTGATTTTAAAAGAAACAGGAGATAAATTTTTACCATAAAGTATAGCCATAGAACAACTTTTTTTGGTTTGATGATGATAGGCACATGGGGTGAACTGCAAATGTCAATTAATTTCTGTATATATATATGTTTGATGGTATTCTGAGAGACAGTTTGAGATACATCCCTCCCAAATACTGTGATCTTCACGTGCACTGCTGGATTTCCCGTTGTATTTTCTCTGCAAATCTTATCTGTTTTCCTTTCAAGTGGGGCAGTCTTTTCTTGCAAGGGGCTGGTACACTGAATTTCTTAAGTTTCTTCTACCTTAATTTGACTTGGGAATTCAGGGCTCGTTTTGACAAAGAAGACAAAAGTAATGGAGACTAAGGGACCAGTTGGCTCTTCTTCCTCGTTTGCTGCTGATCTTTTTGGCTCCAAAGAGTCATCATTATCTTCATCAAAAGGGATTTTCAGCTCCATTTTTGCACCTCCATCTTCGGTATATACATATTGTTCTATATTGGTGATCGCATTTGTTATGTTTTTAATTCATTTCTAGGCTTTCTTTATACATATGTGATCATAAAACCTCTAAATATTTTGTATTTTGCATAAGAAAGTATTCCTAGTCTAATCGGAAGCTTTCTTTGTCTTAAATTTCAGGTTGGGGGGAGGAACTCCTCAGGCTCTAAGGTGTTAGAATCTTGGCCAAAACAGCCTATGCAAGGTTATTGATCACCACACACAGAGTTTACAATTTTCTTTGACTACACTTCTTTTGTGTCAATAGGAACATAACCCCAGAATTTTTCTGTATTCGCCAAGAGTCATCTGCAGAACTATTATCATTTTTTTTCTTTAAAACTCTTCCATGTGTTTAACCGGTGCCTAGAGCACTGATCTCTGATAACATTGTCCGAGTATTATTATGTTTATGAGCATAATGTAGATCAACTACCTAACAAGGAAGAAAGGGTGGCACCATACCATTTTAGTTCATCTCTTTACTATGGTGGCCGAGATTCATATTCCCATTCCTCGAGTGGCCAAACTTCAACATCATACCCAATTGTGAGTCTCGACATATCAAATTCTGATGTAAAAACTAGTTTTCTGATACATATGCGTATGAAAGTAATTATAGTTACATATTGTGTGAACGAATATAGTTTAAGAAAGATGGGGGAGAAGATGACCCTAACGGAAACAATTCAATGGATGCCTCTAGAGGGAATTGGTGGCAAGGTACTCATATTGATCTACTGGAAAGCTTCAAATTGATAATCAATTGAGCTATGGATTTAGAATTAATACCAATATCTAAAACACTTGACTTTGGATTTCTGCAGGTTCGCTTTATTATTAGAATCCTCCATTAGTTCTCCAAGGTATTCGGATTCTTCATCTAGTCTTTTGTATCTTCCACTTATCCTCCACTCCTCTGAACAAACTTGTAAAGATTTCTTTGTTAATCTTGAGATTTTGCAGGAATACATAAAAACAGGCAAGTAATCATATGGAAGAACATGAAGCATGAATAAGTTTCTGGCCCTTGGGAGTTGGGATTTAAAAATCCTTTCGGTAGTATCTTTTTTTTTTCTTTCGTGATTTTAATTTGGGAATGAAGCTTGAGAAGTTCTTCATTAGATCATGGACTCTGCTCTGAGATAAGGGCCGAGAAACCGATGGAAAAATTAAGTCATTTTCCTTTTTAAATGTAAAGATGCAATCTTTTTGCTATGCATGCAAGTAGCACAGCAAGAACTGAAATACAAGCAAAATCTTCTTTCCACCGTCATACATTAAGATGGCCCTCTCAAGAAATTCAAAATGAAAGACCAGCCGACATAGAATACCGACATATTTCAAGAGGCAAATGACAAAATGCAAAATTTTATGCTAAATTTCTAAAATTTTAAGGAGAAATTAACTTATAAAATTTTAAGAATAATGAAAACAGATTATCAATAAAGAATTTAAAAAATATATTTAAAATATATGAAAATTTAAAAATTTTAAAGGTACAGTTACGCCCACCCACTCTCCTCGGTCCATCTCTAGGACTGTCGGTGAACAAGAAAGCTGAAAATGTAAGAGTCCGTTTCATTTCCGTCCGTGTTTGGGTCAAAAAAGAAGTTTCAAGCTCTGGTCTCGAACGTGGCATTAAAAACCAAGCCCAATCACTCGAACTTATAAACAACTAAAGATAACAAAAATGTACTAAAATCTCCTTTCATTGATGGCCGAAAAATAAAACCTCCCTCATTCTCACAACTCCAATTAATCTCATATTTCTATCTGTGAAAATCTCTGTTTTTTTATATCAAATGGAATAAAATGGTTCTGTTTACACTCCTGAATGTCAAGTCACAAGAAAAGTACCAATCATCAGTCTACCATAGTGACCTTTCCTTTGTTTGTAGAAACAACAATCCCACTAAACCCCAAATTATACTTTATTTTACTTTTATAATCATCTATATTTTATTCATTCTTATTTTTTATTAGACATTACAACAATTAATCCTTTTAATTTTATCTTCTTCATTTATAATTTAAAAATAAAAAATTTAATATCTTGTCTCATTAAATCAATGAATTATTGATTATGTTTTATTTAATCTAATATATTTAATTTAACTTGTTTATATTTTAAATTTAAATTTTGAATATTAATATGAATGAAAAAAACAAGATTTTTAAAATAAACTTAGAGGGGAACTCCCTAACAAATGGCAGGTGAGGCGAATTTGCAGAAATTGACAAGTTTAAAGTCATACCTGCAAGAATCAACAACATATAACACAAAATGGGGGAAAAAACATTATATGAGTCTTTCGTTGCACAATTTGTCTTGTTTTTCATCATGTCTTTATGTTTAAAATGAACCCTATAAGGAACCCAAGTTCCATATTTTCATTCCTTAATACGTCAGATAAAAAAGTCCAGCAGGATCCTCTCCCCACACACCTTCTTTTTAATTTGTTTCTCTCCCTTTCTTCTTTTCAGTGTTCATGTGTGATAGATCAGGTAATAATTGTATCTTGTCGAACCAGCGACATCCATAATAGCAAATCATCAAACCACTCACCTGATTTTTTTCAGTATCCACTTTAAAGTGAAAAGCTTTGTAGTTCATTTAATGATGGCTGTTGACCTACACAACTGTGAGTTATTGCTTTCTTCTCAGCTTTTCACTCCTCAACTGTGTGTCTGATCAGCCGAGTTCGAGCTCCACAGAGATCAGCCAGGAAGAAGAAGAATATTACATTGGTGAGTAGACTCACAGATGGCTCAGTACATGCTTCCTGGTGAAGATAAACTTGAAAAGGTAATCCATCCTATTGATCATGTTAATACCAAAGATCCGATTGGTTTTACTTTAAAAACTGATCTCCCCTCACTTTTTCTGTTGGTTTTTAGCCATGGGATTTGTCTGGTTCACCAGAATCAACGCTGTGGTCACAGTTTGGCTCGAACCTTAATACTCCTGTTGGATCATCTAGGGAGCCATCTCCTCCATTGGCACCCATGGTTGAGAATTTTGAAAAGATGAAGATAAATGAAGAAACAGCAAGATATAACCAAGGCGAGCTATTTTTTTCTGGAGGAAACCTGAATGCAAAGAAATCCCTCATCAATGATCAAATAAGAGCAATCCAAGTAAGAACGAATATCATTACTTATTTTTCTTCATTTAGAATTCATTTACAAATGAAACGGCTCTAATTCTCATCATACAATTCACAGTTTTACAGGCTCAAACAAGAGCAAGCTACGAAGAAAACGGAACAAAAGTTGCAAAAGCCAAGCACAAAGCATTACCATCAAGGCAAAGGAAGAGTTCTCGATGGGTTCAACAATGGCCATAAAGCTGCCCCTAATTCTAAAAATCCCTTGTATAATCTGCATCAGCGTCAACAACAGGGCAACCAACAAGCCGGTCCACATATGAGGGCGGTTTTCTTCAATGCATCCGGTTCAAGAAATGGTTCTAGAGGAACCGGGGTTTTCTTGCCTCGTGGAATAGGAGGAAACCCTACCGAGTCAAGCAAGGAACAAGGTTCAAAAAAAAAAGTACCTTTCTTTAGGTTTTTTAATTTATTTTTGACTCTTTGGTTCGTTAAAGTAATTTGCTTTAGGATTTAGGCAAAAGTTTGGTTGGATATGTTGGGGGAGTGGTTAAGTGTTCAGTGAACCGTCAACTATCCTGTTTTCCAAATTATGGTTCTATGCTGGGTTTTTAGAGATTTGACCAGGGATTCTGGTAAATGGTTTTTTTTATTCCCACCCATGTCCTCAGATTCCATTTCCTCGACAAATCTTTCCTCCTTTGCTAGCGTCCAAGATTTGATTAATGTGAAGTGGAATCTTCCCTTGTCCTGGTCCCCCTAGTTTAGTCCATTTGCATGTTGTTCTCAATAAAAATCTCGATTTCTTTCTAGAAGGAACTTAGACCATGATCGTTTTGGGTCAGATATTTTATTCCTGGATTTTGTTCTGTTTTGATCAGGATGTGCCACAGTTCTGATTCCTACAAGAGTAGTTCAGGCACTGAAGCTCCACTTTGAGAAAACAGGTGTTCCAACAAGGTCCAACAATAGTGGTTTCCCTCTCCAACACGGTACCTAAACTGATCCAACACCAAGAAAATTTTATCGTCTTTATTGCTTTTAGCATTTGGCAATCTAAATTACATTTTTTGTTTATTCCATACAGATGCTTGTGGAAGTGGGAGGAATAATAACAAGCATTCACTGCACAAGGGTCAGTCCAAGGCAGCGCCGGCTCTCAACCTTCAAGAAATGAGTCTACCTCAAGAATGGACATATTAAAGCAAACAACACAACCACATGGGGTTGTTTGTTTCCATCAATCGAAGCGTAGATTGTATTTCAAGGCAGAATAAAAGAGGATAAAACAAAAATAAAGACAGACAGTGGTCAAAATATATGGAATCTAGGGTTAAGATTATATATCTATTAATTTGTTTTCTTTCTTTCAGCCTTTAGCCCTTGTTTTAAAGGGTTTAGCCTTTAGATGGGAAAATTAAAATAAATTTGCTAAGAAAATGATTCGATACCTTCAGCTTGTTGAAGATGTATCTTGTAAAATACTGGTAATAAAATCAGCTATCCTTTGGGTTTTTAAAACCCATCTTTGTATTAGACGTAGCTAAATCTTATCATGGAATCACTGTGATGATCGAGTTCTTGATTGATATATTTCTCTTGAAAGTATTTCATTTCCACATCTTAAGAATGTAAACAAAATCAAAATCAGTTATTTTGCCCTTTTTATAAATGATTTGTACAAATTTGTTGTGCTTTAAAAATGAAAAAGTTATACTACATTACTACTCTACAAGGAGCGTGGGGCAACAACAACTGCTATAGCCCAGACTCAAAAATTAATTGTTGTCTTATACTCGAATTCTAGAGAATACCCACTTCTATTATCATTTTTCTCCATTTTAGTCACTTAACTATTTTTTTAAAATCATATATAACGTTATGGGCAATGCTCATGTGGGGTGTTAGAAAAAATAATTGGCTCGTCTAGGGTCTGAGCGAAATTATTTATTGAGATGATCTGATTGCTACAATACCGGGGAAGACATCGAGAACACATGTGTCTTCCCTATTTTTCACACAATTGAAATGAAACTGCCAAGACTACCAAAAGAACAAAGCAAGAGTCGCATTGTGGTTATCGAGTCTTCCAGACGCATTGTGTTCTTGTTGTCTTCCAACAAGCACTATAACAATCACATTAGATCAAAAAATAATTTCGACGAGACCTTTACTAGCAAATCATTTTTTCACTACCCCACAAACAGTTTTGCCTAACGTTACATTTTGATTTCATTTTAGTTATTCATCATTAAAAAAATTAACATAATTATTGATGTGATATTTTTTTATTTTTTCAATGATGACAGTATTACATTATAGTGACACATCAACATCACCGCTAAAAAATTAACGGTGGGTGACCACAATAAAATCAAAACATAACGTTAGGTATGATATTGAAACAAAAAAAAAGTTGAGTGATTAAAACGGAACAAAATTAATAGTTAAAGTACTAAACCTGTAGTTTACCCAAAAATTAATAATGAGAGATCGTTGCATGTAGTAAATAAAACAGACCACCGACTTTGGGAGGCTTCTGGAAAATCTTGGAGATGGGATGCTCTTGTATTCTACTAGATAATGTGTCTCTTGGAAACCCTGCAACCAAATAACACAAAACGTATGACCAACAATCGTCTTCACAAGCACCACGCCATTAAAAAGGTATGACATCAAGCGTTATCAAATGACTGAATAAGTAAAGGCCAACCCTCATGGCTCGCAACAGAGTTTGCCCCACACCAACCAACATATTGTTTGATCCAGCGACAATGACATGTTCATCTAACAAAGAACACACAAAACAAAGATGCATACTAGCCCTAATAGATATGTCATCATTATGTCTATCGGCTGTATGAACAAGAAAATAATAAATCTTATTATATAGATAAATATATGATTTTATGTTAGATAAAATGAATTTATAAAATTTTAAGAATAAAAATAATAATTAATTAAAAATATTTAAACTATATAAAAATTTAAATTTTTAAAAGAGAATATACTTCTACCAGCCCCTCCTAGTTGAATCTCAATATTTATATCTCGAAAGGGGGCATGCATCATTATCATCTTCTTGTGGTGGAGCATCCAGCAGGTGCTACGAATTGATATTTGATAATGGTGGTTCTATCATTCCTTCATAAATAATAATTCAATAGATTTGAATCAGATAAGATATTTTATTTATATAGATCAGAATTTATTTTTTTTATTTTTGGAAAGAGACTTAACTGTGAATTCTATAATATAATTAATAGTTTTATTAAATTTAATTCTATTAACTATTTTTAAGTATACTAAAATATTTGGACCGTTGAAATCCAGCCCGAATCAAGTTAGGAAAAACAATTTCAATTTTGTCGGCCTACGAAGCCTTCAAATTTTATTTTGAAACAGCGGTAGAAACCAGACCATCCAGGAGTAGATCTAAAGCCCACAAAACGAAAGAGGGAAATTGGGAAAATTTTAGGTTAGTTTGGTTTTAGAAAATATATGTTATTTTCATATAAAATAAAAACGTTAACAGAAGTAATTAGATAAGATCGGGTTGAGTTTCCTTAATTTAAGGGATCTTGTATTAATTCGGTAGATATTAACCGTCGATATAAATCGATCTAGGTCATTGATTAAGAGGGAGCTCAACTATAAATAGAGAGTCTCTCCTCCTCATTTGAGTTATCCATTCATTAATTCCTCCATTCTCTTGGAAGAGAAGCTATGAGGTATTTACTCTAGTTCTTTTGTTATTTATTCTTTATTCTCTTGGTATTTATTGCATCTCTTAGTGGCTAGAAATAATAGAAACGTTTTGATTATAAAATTAGAAAATAAAAACAAAAATAAATAAAAATATGAAAACATAAAAAATGTTTCTAATGTTTTCATTAAATTTTTTTTTTAAATTTAAAATTTTTAATTTTAACTTTCATGAGTTCAAATCCTTATAATAATTTATTTTGACTTAATGGTATTTGAAACTCTCAAACTTTTGTAAAAAAGTCAACGTAATCTTTGATTTTTTTTACAATTAATTTTATCTTTAAATTAATTTTGTTAATAATTTAATTTTATAATACTTTTATATTCTAGAGGAAAATTCAGTGTTGGCTCGCAAGGCTATATAGCTGATTTTCTGGAGCCACTGCCCGAGGTAAGTATTTGTGCATCAATCGGTAGAGTTACTAGAGTATTTATAACCAATTTTTCGGTTATCAAAGGGAAAAAAAGGTTCTAAGAAAGCTTCTATTGCATAAATGGATTATGCATAGAATATTCGATTTGAGAGAACAAGGATAGAACTTTGCAAAGTAGCACAATTCGTAGTTAAAACTGCTAAATTTATTCCGATCACAAATATGTTATTTAGAACTCTTATACATGCATATAATAACATACAATTATAGAGATCACACACAGGGAACAAAACTCTGATCCGACAGAGTTAAAGGCACTCACATATCAAAGTAGCAACTTTGAGTATTATGTCGAAGCGAAGACATTTTTTAGCCAGAAATGTCAATATCCTTAACATCAGGCTTTGTGACTTGCAGCTTTGGAACAGTGACAGTAAGCACACCATTCTCCATGGATGCCTTGATCTGATCCATCTTAGCATTCTCAGGCAACCTGAACCTCCTCATGAACTTCCCACTGCTACGTTCCACGCGATGCCATGTGTCGTTCTTGTCTTCCCTCTCCACGTTCCTCTCTCCGCTTATCTGAAGCACCCTATCGTCTTCAACCTCCACTTTCACTTCTTCTTTCTTGAGCCCAGGAACATCGGCCTTGAACACGTGCGCTTCTGGGGTTTCTTTCCAGTCGATTCGGGTGTTGACAAAAGCCGAGGTTTCTGGGGTTTGTGTGGTGAGCGAAGAAGACATAGGGAAGTCCCTGAAAGGATCCCATATGTCGAGAGATAAAGGATCAAAGACGTTGCTGCGTCGTTGCCAAAGAAGCTTGGAACCAATGACATTTTTGGGAAAGAAAAACTGAGATTAATGAGAAACTTGAGAGAGCTGTCTTGGTTTTTCTATGCTTTGCTTGTCTGAGTGCTTGAAGCCGCTGAAATGGTGTTTTTATAGGCCATAGAGAATTCTTGAGAAGATTATCTATTTACTTTTTTTTGGGGGTTGTTTTCTTAAGAATTCTAGTGTGGAGAAGATTATTCTATTTTAGGTTTAAATCATTTTCTAGGACAGTATAGACATCAATGGCAAAAACACATCACTTGATTTCCGGGACCTTCACGAATTTTCATATTCCATATGGGCTTTTATACACAGACAAGTGTAAGACTTGAGCCTCAATACAACTCAATGGACTTTATTTTTATGGTTTAAGTCCTACTCACCGTAACATGAATCTTTTATCTTTCATTTCAAATAAAAAAGGTTAAATATATGCATAGTTCTTGAATCGTAATTTTTTTAAGATAGAGATTTAAATTTTTAATATTTATTTGATATTTGAATTAGATAATTTTGAATATTTTTTTGGTTAAATAAATTTTGTTTTCACTTAATGATCTTGAAACGTATTTTGCATGAGTTTAAAAAAAAATTTGACTAAAAATTTAAAAAATATTTTTAATTTATAGAAATATGAACGATTAAAATGATAAATTCCTTAAACATCATTATGAATTTATATTTTTTATTTTATGAATTGAATATTATAATATAAAATGAAGCAATAATAATCTCCACTAATGGGGCTTCCATTTGGTTGGGCTTAGACCCTGGGGTTTTCACCATATTTCAGATTCAGCGCCATCAGCGTGAAGTGGGTAGATGAGAGAACACAGTCTTCGGCCCGTCCACCGTTATATCCCCAAACAAAACGAGTAAAATCCAAGCTTGTATGATTTTCCCTTAATCACCCATTGATGTTGTCTTTGTTGTTTGTGTCGATAAAGTTTTTGTTATTTAAAGGCCAAGAAGGAACATCAGTAGGATCTCCATTAATATTTTCTGAGGGAAAATATTTCATAATTTTTTGAAGCCAAATAAAAAAGTAAATTTTTAATGATAAATCAACATGATGAAAAGCTCTGGCTTCCACCTGATTTAAAAACATAATAGGGAACCTGCTATTTGAAGTGCGGAACTTTTGTACCCACACATATTCACGTGTTTCTTTACATCAAAAAATTGTACACAGCTCTAAATTGATAAATAAATTGGGAATCACGTTGGGCCGTGCAGATGGCGACGATCCGTATCTGCTTTTATTATTTTTCCACACTGCTTTTTTCAGCAGGAAATAAAAGAGTTGGTGAATGAAAGGATGGTGGTGCTTCCATATTGGAACGCACATGGGCTACTGTCGGTGATTTTTCTCTTCGGTCATGGCTCACTCACTGATGACTGACATGTATGTATACTATATATTGTGTTTCAGAGATTCACGTGAAGACAATCATCATCTGCAATCAGAAAATGCACGATCGCCATCATCATCGATCCCGACCCTAATTCATCTGCGAATCTGTTTTACTTGTTTTTACTTGCACACTCATCTTTCTCACGTCTTTAATCATTCTAATCTTAAACACGTTTAATTATCACAATAATTATTAATCATTTCTCTTAATATAAAACTATTAGTATAAACCAGCATTGCCATGTTTACAGAAATTCAAATATTCTAATTTAAAAACTATTTCGTCAATGAGATGAGATACTCCATTAGTTTAATGTTAATTAAAAATAAATTTTGTTGTCCTAATAGATTATCTAATTTAAATTTTATTATCCTAATAAATTATTTTAGAATTATACTATATTTATATTTATACATTGCATATAACATATCGAAAGTTATTCTTGCATATACCCTTTGTTTTCCTCTGTTTGCTTTTGAGCGGAGTGGAGACTTTTGAGCGTTGATATCAGGCGCGGGATTAAAAGCATTGCCATCTTTTACTTTCTTCCTATAAACAATCATATTATGGTATGAATAAAGTGAATAAAATTTGCATGTTTAGATTAATTATACTTTACATTAACAAAGACTAAAGATACCGACTGTGCGGACTTCATTTTTTCAAGGAATCCCATGCAATATTTCCGAAAATAAAGTCGCACTTTTTCGAGCTTTTAAAAATAATTTCTTTTAAATTTTACATGTGATATTATTATCTGAATTATTCACAATATGACAATACATTATGCACCATATATATATATTATATTTTTATAATACATCTTAAATAATTATTTGACAAATGAATTGCGAATTTTTTTCCAAAATTAAAAAGATAATTGATATTTAAAACCAGGGAGACAATTAGAACCTTAAAGAAATCACAGTATATCCTGATTCGGATGATCAACAATCCATCATACCCTTAATCCTATCAATAGTGGACCCTACTCGTAACATTAGATTATAGATCTAATCTGGAGTGGGGCCACTATTTGATAAATTAAACAGCAACTTTTATGATTATTGAATATAATAGGTATATACATAAAGATGGGATAGATGATGACCAAAAACGATGAAGATGTAGAAGCATGCATAGAAGGACACGTTCTCTCCTCAAATGATAGTTTCAAGTACCTAGGGTCTATGATACATATAGATGGGGGTGTAGATGATGACGTTATACATCGTATAAAGACAGGATGACTAAAGTGGAGAGCTGCTACTGGAGTTTTGTGTGACAAGAAGGTACCTCTAAAACTTAAGGGAAAATTTTATAGAATGACAATAAGACAAGCACTGTTATATGGATCAGAATGTTGAGCAATCAAGAAGGATCACGTAAGGAGGATAGAGGCCGCAGAAATGAGAATGCTTCGATGGACATGTGGTAGGACTCTGTGAGATATGACAACAAACTCTACTATTAGGATGTCCTTGGAGGTGGTGTCTGTTTCCGAAAAATTGAGGGAGTGAAGAATACGGTGGTTTGGGCATGTCCTTAGGCGACTACCATCGGATTCGGTCAGGAGGGTAGAGTCGATTACAGTCGACGGTGCCAGAAGGAGAGGACGACCAAGGCGGAAGTGGGAAGACTACTTGAGATCTGATTTGATGGATTTAGCCCTTACCTAGGACATGACATCTGATAGGAAAGTGTGGAGACTTAAGACTAGGATAGTCGAGTAGTGTGGGTCACATCTATAGGGTGTATCATCTTTTTTTTAATGTCTTTGTAGTAATTTTCATGATTTCTACTTTTTATACGTTTCTGTTTTTTATATTTATTAAGGCTTAGAACTGAGCTTCCTATCGTTGAATTTTGTGTATCATTCTCTTCACTTTTAAATTTAGTCGGGTCTTACGTTTCTGTCTATATGCAGAGATTTTTTCACAGTGATTACTTACCATTACAGACGCGCATATGATATTAATGACTGCATATGAATATTGTTCAACTATGTATTTATTTATACATGCATTGTATTTTATCTATATTTTTAATTTTCTTATTGCCGGAGGTCTTCCACAGAAGCTATTCTCAACCTGACGTTGAGACAACCTACTATTGTATATAGTAATTGGATTTTGTTGTTGTTGATTAATATAATAGGATACACTCTGTAGGGTGGGGACTACCTGAACAGAGCCTTCCCCGTCCCGCGTCTTTCTGATGTGACCACTTTTTTTATTATTAAAATCCAACCGTCCGATAAAAATATTTAATTTTTTCGTCAACTACTAATACAAACAATTCCCTCTCGAACTCCTTTCCGCTTTCCCTGCTACTTTGACTACTTGCTGCATGCAAAACAAAAAACCAACGAAAAATAATAGAAATGAAATGAGCTCCAGCCATAAGTAATTAAAAAAGTAATTTTCCTTTAGATTTCCTTTATGGCCCCCTCTCCATGTTTCGACTTTGAGCATTTGGAATTTTTGTAACCAAAAAAAAAAATGCTAAAGACGGATTAGGATTTTGAGATTTTTCTGTGTTAAAGTTTACCTTTTCCACTAGGAGATTAATCATTGCTTTGAGCGTTTCATGTTTTAACATCTCTTTTTTTGACTCTGGTCTTCTGTTATTTTGCCAGTGTTTGTTGTAGTTCTCACTGTCCAGCGCGCCGCCGACACGAGGTTCTTCTTCTTCTTTTTCACCGACGCGTTCACGTTTTCCGTTATTGAGCGCCTTTCCGTTCTGCATTTCCTGTACTTAGACTGGTAATTTTCTTCCTCTCGGTCACTCGGACTGGAAAGTTTTGAATGCTTAACACTCAAACAAGGATTTATATCCTTTTCCTCGTATGGAATCTAATTTTTTCCAGCATTGTAACTATGAAGTGAATTGTACTTTTCCTAAAACAGAAGAAACTGTCTTTAATTTTTTGATGCAGTAAACGAGGCTCTTAATGTTTCGAAAATTGAATTGAAAAATGATTGCGCTTGTTCTTTTGCTTAAGCTTAAGGCGATCTTGTCGTTTCCAATTGAACTTGAGTGGATTTGATGATGACTCTTCATATCTACCTTATCTGAATAATTGTTTTCACTTCTTTTTGTTTTATTTGTTCCTATGGACCACTCACTCTCGATTTCTTTGCAAACGACGTATATCAAGATTCTGTGGATTCGTTTTCAGCCTTGTTTTCATCATCTTCTATTTATTTGTCAACTTTGAGCTCTGAAAAAGTTGTGAGAATCTTCATTCTTTAATACTTTAACAATTTTGGAACCCGTTGACGGAAAATTTCAGTTGAGGTGTATTTTGCAGTAAATATGTTATTCTGGAACTTGGTAGTGATTTGAGGCTTTTAGCTGTGTTTATTGGGAATTAGTACTCATCAGATTATCTGGAAATTTTTGAAGAAGAAAATTCATGGCTTTTGCTGTTTAGTTTTGATTTTGGAATCATGGATATTGCAGTCGATTTTGGATTGCTCCCAAGCGTATGTGTATTTCACTTATGAATTGTAGTGAATTTGTTAACTACACATCTTACTATGATAGAAGTATTATTTTTTTAAGCAAGTTTAAGATTTAATTGGTTCGTTGTTGCAATCTTTAATTTTGTAATGATAATGACGAAGATTCGGATGTTTCCCTCGCATCACCTCACATACTGGGATTTTGTTGTCACCCTATGTGCACTTATTTCTAAGGTATCATTTCGTTTGGATATTCAAAGACCCCACAAGACTTTGTTACACGAGAATGCAAATCCCCGAATTTGAAAGGGATTTGGTTTGAAGACATACATTTGGATGACAAAGCCTTGGGGAGGGTCTACAGGTGATGAAGGATGATACTACCTTCATGTAATTTTATGCAGGAGTGACGACAAAATCCCAGTATGTGTGTGCGGTGATGCCGGGGAAATGACCGAATTCTGGGTTATAACAAATTTAGACATTTACACCTCTAGCTTCTATTTTCTCATGCATTAATGGGCATTTAAAGGATATTAAGGGAGTATGGTAAGTTTATGTTAGTTATATAAGCCCTGTAGAAAGAGAAGGAAAAGAAAGCTTTTATGTTGAAAAATGTTTAGCTATTAGATGGTAATGACTGGCTGAAGATATTAATACAACTGTGATTTTTTTCTTCATGTGGATATGTCACGACTTCATCATGGTTAAGATTTGAATGAATCAATGCGATTTGCTTTAGGACTTGTGTTCTATAGTTAAGCTCACTTGTTTAGAGAACCTTATGCTACTATGCATGTAATACAATTGTTATCAATTTAATACTATTGTAATATTGTTTTACAATGTTTGTTTTCATCTTCACAGTTGTCTGCATTTTAACAGAGTTAAAAGTGTGCAGCTAAAAGGATCTCGAGTGATTAAGACCTGTCCAGTCTATGGAACGCCATTTAGAGTTTAGGATGAATTCAAGTGATTAATCCTTTGGAATTTCTGTAAAGACCATGTTACCCCAAGCAAGGAATAGGTCAAATATGCAAGGCAGGTTTAAACCTGAAAAGCCTAATTTGTCACATGCTGATCGTCATCATGAGGTTCTGAAAGGTGGAAAAGAGGTGTCAGATTCTTCATTGAAGCACACAAAACAACATGCTGATATCAAGGCAAATGAAGAAGATGAGCTTGTGAAGTACATGTCAAATCTACCAAGTTACCTGGAGAGAGGAGCAAACCCCCCAAGAAAAAGTTTTAAATGTTGGGGTCCTTCCATGGGTGCGCCTTGAAAAATGGCAGTGTAGCAATAAACAGAACTTATATAGAAGTAGTATCTCTTCAACCAGTAGCAACACATTTTCAACAGATGAATCATCAGCACATTGGAGCAGAGGTCATAGTTGGCCTCCTGCCCGTCAAAGGTTACAACGTCCTTCCCTGCAATCTCATCTGATGTCAGTCCCTGTAGAAGGCCATTTGCCATTTGACAGAACTTCCTGGGTAAGTGTTGGAAAGCTTCAAGATCCCAAGGCTTCTGAGAGCACCAGCTTCGCGGCTCAGGGAAAATTCAAGAGAGAAGATAAATCATTTTGCAAAACTAATCCACGAATGAAGCTTGAAAAATGCAAGAGAATGGAAATAGTCCCAAAGATTATTTCAGCAGGTTCAACAGTGCCAAATGGGGTCAAAGATAATGTGGCATCATATGACAAGGTGAAAATGAAGAACCAAGTTGGTGAAGTTATGAAGAAAGTTGAGAAGTTTGAAGAAGTTATTCCAAACCGGGATAAAGTAATTGTCACTGAAAAAAGTAACACGGTTGTCCTCCTTTCGCCAAGAGATCTGCCCAAAATGAATCACTCAGGAGAAGTCGGCTTTTCTAATTTAACAATAAAGTCAAGTAAAAAAGAAGCAGAACCTAGACAGAGGACCTTCCCGGAAACTTCTAAAGAGGTTCAACATTCAGCAGTCAGCTCCAATTTCCATCATTCAGGCCCATTGCCTTATGAACTTGATGGCAGTAAACATTTACAGCTTAAAGTGACAGGCCTCGATTCCAGTGGTAACAACATTCCATCAGAAAGAACTCATTCTGTACCTCGTGCAACAAGGATTGAAACTATTTCTTCCAGAAGCAGAAATCTAGAGGAGAGAAGGTCAAATGCAACACCCGTAAATCCTAATGCAAATGAGGCTCGGAAAGGATCAGACGCAAAAGGAAGCAAGGTTTCATATGAAGAAGTACGAAGCACTTCACCTTTCCGTCGTTTTAGCTTCAGCATGGGTAAAGCAGGCAAAGTTTCTGAGCCCAACGAGGGTACATCTATATCTCAGGCAGGCTTAACACATAGTTTTGTCAAATCAGATTTAAAAAATCCCCAGAATGCTGTTTCTTCTGGTGTTGATACTTCTTGCGGTGACAAAATCAATGCTAAAAGCAGAAGCAGGTCCAGCCCTTTGAGAAGATTATTAGACTCGCTTCTAAAACCGAAGGCAGTTAACTGTCGCAATTTTTCCAACCAATTACAGGACTCAATATTAACAGAAGGTGCCTGTAAATCATCAGAACAGCTTAGACATTCAGCTTTGCCCTTGCAGTCAGCCAAAGTGAAATCAGATACGGCGAGCCATTGCACAAGCAATGTAAATGATTCAGCACAGAACAAAAATTGTGGATCTTCAGCAGTTCAAGCTCTTCTCAGAGTTCAAGTTAAGAATGGGTTGCCTCTGTTCACGTTTGCTGTTGATAACGAGAGTAAGATTCTTGCAGCTACTATGAAAATGTTAAGTGCATCAGGGAAGAGTGATTATGGATGCATTTACACATTCTTTGCCATTCAAGAAGTCAGAAAAAAGAATGGAAGGTGGATAAATCAGGGCAAAGGCAAAGGTCAGGAGTATGTCCCTAATGTTGTTGCCCAGATGAAGGTCTCTGGTTCCGAGTTTTCTCATTTGTCCAGGCCAAACTCTGTGGATCAATTTAGCCTCAGAGAATATGTTCTTCTTACCTTGGATTTAGGACGGGCAAATCCACAAGCATCTGATTTCCTGTCAAGCGATGAGCAGGCAGCTATCATTGTCAAGATCCCAACAAGGAACAGAAGAATTCCGATTAGAGATGGGTACCTGATTGATAAGCCTAACAGCTTCGCTGTGACTACATTGAAAGAGCGTCAACCAGAGGTGAAACTTGAAATTGATTATGGGAAAAATGGTGCTCTTATGGGTGGTCAAGACATTAGTGCTACAGTAATACTTCCAAGTGGTGTACATAGCCTGCCAAATAAAGGTGAACCTTCATCACTGATCCAACGATGGAAATCAGGTGGTGCATGTGACTGTGGTGGTTGGGATTTAGGTTGCAAACTCGGGGTTCTTTCTAATAAGAGCCAATTCAGTCAGCGATCTAATTTCGAACTGTTTTTTCAGGTATAGTAGTTGATCTTATGCTAAGTAAAGTGTTATACTGAAAGTGTGGACTGAATTCTCTATGACTGAATTCTCTATGTTCTAATTATAACTATCAGGGAGGAGCTCAAGACAAGAAGCCATTGTTCAGTTTGGCCCCTTTCAAGGATGGTATCTATTCAGTTGAGTTCAATTCTTCGCTTTCACCTATGCAAGCATTTTCCATTTGTATAGCAGTTTGGGATAGTAGGAAACACTCTGAGATTTCAGAACCAGAATCAGTTACCACCTCTGAAGAAAGAACATTGGGGAAAACCATACTAAATGAAAGATTAAATGCTTCTAATCCTATAGAAGGCGGTACTGCTGCTAGATATGTCCAATATCCACATGTTTCCCCAGTTGAAAGGGTCTAGTTCGACACTATGAATGATACGATGTAATTAAGTGAAAGATAGAATTATATAGATTTCTGGTTTTTTGGTTGGGCAATGCTCAGTGAGATATGTATCGCCGTTAAGGTAAGGGTCGCCCAATGGAGAATGAACAAGGCCTGTTTGTAATAGTTGAGGACTGGTTCGCTGCAAGCTTTGGAGCATTGTAGTTTGATTTACATATGAAAACAGATTCAATATGATCTGTAGTATAAGCAAAATGTTTTGATCAGTGTAAGCGTGCATATGAAATCAAGCGATTATGGGATACTTAAAATGATCAATGTTGAATTATGCGGTCACTCCATTCCCACTTATATTGTCCCCAGATTATAGTTACATTCATGGATGAATCCAGAGAATGTGTAAACTGATTTAAGTATGCACAGATTCAAAGCTGAAAAGGGTTTAGTGCTGGCCGTGGTACTGTGAAGGCCAAATTTCAGGGCCTTGAGAGCACAGTGACAAGATTAGAGTGCATGTGAGATGGCTTTCCCTTTTGGCAAATATGAAGCTGGCATGATCCAATGATTCAATCGAATTGTGCTTCTTGTCTGATGTCCCACCATTGCCGCCACCATCACAACCCTTTCTACTTTTTTTTAAGATTACATTTTTATACATAATAGGATATGAAATTAGAGAAAGCACTTGTTATGTCACATGCTTATCATAGTCCCTTTCACCATCAAAGCCTACTGTTTTCCCCTTCCTCTTTTGATCCAATCTTTGGTGCTGCTGCCTTATCTGATTTGCATGCCCTGCCATTGTCAAAAGATCTATTATTTGATTCTTTCCCTCCATATTATTGCAGTTTGCATGCACTTTTACTTTCTGTATCTGTGTCTTAGTTCAACTGCAGCCTAGAAAGCCTGTTGTTAAAGCTGTTTTCCGCAACTTCACAACATTTTACACTGTTGCTTTACCCCATAGCCATCAGGCAGCAGGGAGAGATCACATATCTTAAAATATTTCAGTTCCATGTTGCTTCTTTTGATGACTGATGTTTTGAAGCTGCCATGCCAACCTTGTAATAAATAATGAATGCAAAAACATCTTTGCACAATAACGCACATAAATGGCCAAGAGATTCAGACATGTTTCCCCTGTTGAACATGTTTATATCCATTTTTTCAAGTGGTCCTATGAAATAAAATATGGCTTCTCTCTGTTTTTTTTAATTAAGGGGTTAAAATGATACCATCAGCATCATGCTTCCCAACTCCAAGAAAAACTACCCTGTTTAACACTGTTGGAAAGTTGCCTAACAGATCCTGAGCTAGGATCTTTTGTGTCTGTGCTGAAATTTTAGCAGAAAAAAAATAAAGTTTTGTTTAATATTTTGGGGTTTGCCATTGCCAGTGCTAAACTTCCCCATGTGGGTTTTCCATTCTTATAAAATTGTCCCTACTTTCTTTCTTCTTTGGAATTGGGAGACCACAGTGCTGTTGTTTGGGTTTTCTCTGTCAAATTTCACTGGAAAAAGTTGGCCAAGATGCAAGGAAAAAAAACAAACTCTCTAGGCTCTTCAACCTCATTGTTTCAAATATATACATGAAATTAGTTTCAAGTTGGATGTGACTTAAAACATTATAAATTAACAAAAAATAAACTTTCTTTAACTTCTAAAAGAAGTACATGACTTAGCTTGAAGCTTTAATGCATATTTGTTATGAAAAAGGTTGCATAGTGTGTTTATTAATAGGCATTTGGGGTTCCTTTTCCCCCTTTAAAAGGAGCTTTTAATATTTTAAACATAATTTGGAAAAGGGAACCTGAATTCCTTGAGCTCAGTTGATGTTATTATATCATATCTCATAATTAACAATGAAAGCACCCACAAAAGTTTTAGACTTTTCCTTTAGAAGGCAAGGATTCACAGTTCCAGATAATGTCATTGCCCCCTCAACAATGCCCCAATTTTCAATTCATTTTTGCTTCAAAATCAAGCCCAGGAGTCATCATTTCAACTTTACATTCGTCACTTTATAATGTCCAGAAATAATTTATTAACCGGAATAAGTATAAAATGTTTCAAAATTATAGTGAGAATACTAGGGTTTTGTTAATCTTATTATTGTAAAAGTATTTACATTATATATGTTTCACGGGATTATTTTCTTATACATTTTTATTTGGAAATAATATCTACGCGTGTTTATATTAGTGTAATGTAAAATTAAAATATAATGATTTTTAAGATTATGTCAATGTTGGCGTTCATAGATGTCAAGATTAATGGAATTATCTTAAGAAAATTGAAAATCATCGCACTATTCACGTCTTCTATAAATGTTAAGGTCCGACATAAAAATAATTTGCATATTCTGAAAATAATCCCATAATTTACGTGGAGAAGTAACTTTCTTTTGCGAGAGAGTGAGCAAACACACTCAATTTTTCAAAAACAAAAATTATTACTAAATAAAATGAAATTATATATATCAATAATAATTTATTAAACTAAACTTAATCGACTAAAGAGTATGAATTAAACAATAAAATATTTAAAAATGTAACAATTATATTATTTATCAAATACTTGAATTTATTAGATGTTTATATAGTAAATCCAGTATTTTTTTTTATATTTTTATCTATACGTTATATTAAATCATATTAATTGATTTATCCACAATACGTGCACTTCATTCTAATAATTAAACTGACAAATAAAATTTAAATTATTGTTCTCAAATAAATTTATTAACTAAGAAATTCACCATCCCCTATATATTGGATCTTACTAATTAAAATTACAAATTGAAATAGATATAAAAATTTATGATTTGAATTTTAATATTAAAAATATCATCATCATATCTAACCTCTATAATTTTAATTTAAATTATTCAATCAATTTATTAAATATAAAAAATTGAATCATGCATGTCAATATACATGTTCTACAACAAACTATCATTATATTACATAGTAGAAAATATAAGTCCAAAATTATTTCCATAAATGATGAGGTGACCAACAAACCATATCAACATCATAAAGGGCAAAGGAATTTCCAGCTTTTAATCCCAACACCAATTGTGGCCTAAAGTTAACACCTTTCCTCTTTTATTTCCCAACCCCCTAATTATCATACCCAACAAAGTTTTAAAACAAATTAATTAATTTAAATAAAATATATTTTGGGTTTTAAAAGTACATTAATTTCTTAAATATACTTATTATGAGAATCTACACGATGACTTGTAAATGAGTTATACTTTTTAAAAGTTTTGAGTCTAAACTTCAAACACTTACATTAACATATATGTATATTATTATATATTAATAATTAAAAAATATTATCTTATAATTAATCTATATTATTAAAAAAATAAATACATGTATTATTAGTTTTACACCATCACCCATCTTATCTTATTTTCTGAAAACTCTTACATTATTTATTAATTATTACAAAGATTTATCTATAAAACATAAATAAATGTTTTTTTATTTGTTTAAGTCCTATCTTTGAGTTTGACTCCCCTTATTACTCCCATTCTCCCACTCTCCGTTTCGCTTCGTATATGTACACACCGTGGCGATGTTATCAATTTCATTGGGTGGTGGAATCCACGCTGTAAAAAAAGTCTGGGTTTATGATCAAGAGAGAAAAAAATGGGAAAATTTTTGACATGAAAATGAAAATAAAAGAAATGTAAAAGGAGAGAAAACAGAGAATGATGAGGTGGTGAAAAAGGGGAAACGTGAAAGAGAAGAACAAGAAGAAACCTTGGATCCAAAAAGTTAAATGCTTTTTTATTTTCTCTTACTTTCTCGCTTCCCAAACACTACTTTTCCTCTCCCCTGCTTAGTGCTAGACTATTAGTAGCGTTCTTCTACCTTTCCTTCACACGAATTCCACCACGCTCAAAGCAAAGAAAGGAGAAAATAACCAACTTTTTGTTGGGAGTGTGGTTGAAAATTTGAGGTTTAAGCCAATGGGAGCGCGTTGCTCCAAACTATCACTTTGCTGGTGGCCGTCAAGTCTCAAGTCAAACCTCAACGACTCTTCCGATCTAGGTTAGTTACTTGACTTGTTTCCATCACTCTCTCGAGAAAATATTTTAGTCTTCGAATTTGTTTCCATTTTTGTTTCATAAATTTAAAATTTATGTAGTTCCGTTCACATCAGAGAATGGAGAGGAAGCTTTACCTGGATTCAGCGAGTACAGCTTGGACCAATTAAGAGCTGCCACTTCCGGTTTCTCGACGGACAACATTGTATCGGAGCATGGAGAGAAAGCTCCCAATGTGGTTTACCGAGGGAAGCTCGACGAGGATCGTTTGATCGCCGTTAAACGCTTCAATAGATCGGCTTGGCCTGACCCTCGACAGTTCCTCGTATATATATAAATATATTTACTTTTCCATTTTTTTACTGCAATTTATTTTGATTTTTCTTTTTTGGTTGATTTGTAAGTATCGCTTTCTCTTCTTTTTGGCGTTATTCCAGGAGGAAGCGAGAGCAGTTGGACAGTTAAGAACCGATCGGTTAGCAAATTTGATTGGTTGTTGCTGTGAAGGAGATGAGAGATTGTTAGTAGCTGAGTTTATGCCTAATGAGACTCTCTCTAAGCATCTTTTTCACTGTAATTTTCACTCTTACCTTCAGCTTTTCCCCTATATCCTTAGTTTTCATTTAGTTTACATGTATATATATATATATATATATATATATATATATATATATATATATATAATCTATACTTCAATTTGATTATAGTCTAAGTATCAGTCTCAATGGATCTTCATCTCCTTCAATATGCTGCTAATGGAAATCTGCGTATCTTACTAATAATGCCATTGTTTTTATTCTGTTGAAATGGTATAGGGGAGAATCAGCATATGAAATGGCCGATGAGGCTGAGAGTCGCACTGTATTTAGCGCAGGCGCTTGAGTATTGCAGCAGTAAAGGGAGAGCCCTGTATCATGACCTTAATGCTTATAGAATCTTGTTTGATCAGGTAATTTTATTCTTTATACCATCCGTATTTGAACCTTACCGCATATGTTCGCATTTAGATTCATATTTAATTGCTTACAGCAATGGGTTACTTCTTGACAGGATGCTAATCCCAGACTCTCTAGCTTTGGCCTTATGAAGAACAGCAGAGATGGAAAAAGTTATAGTACAAACTTGGCTTTCACCCCACCAGAGTACCTAAGGACAGGTAAAATACTATGCTAATAGACAAAGTTTATGGAACTCTCATACAGATTGCAAAGATCGGTTATATTATTAAGATATATATACTTATACTGTGCAAAGTATGTGCATTTAACTTTGGGTACGTTTTCTTTCTCATGCAACATGTGTTGTCTCTTTGGTTGAGCTAATTTATACGCATTAACATGACAGGAAGGGTAGTCCCGGAGAGTGTGGTTCACAGTTTTGGAACTCTTTTGCTTGATCTTCTCAGTGGCAAGCATATACCACCAAGCCATGTGAGTTCTCTTGTCTTCTTAATCTCCGTTAAGGCGAAAGTCTTGATTGAAATCTTCTGTCATAGAAATTTAATACACTATTAAATTGTAGATATCTGCACTGCATCATGGTATATCCTCAGGAGATAATTTATATGCTTAAATGTTGGACTATCATTGTTGCAGGCATTGGACCTAATACAGGGTAAAAACTTTCTGATGCTAATGGACTCAAACCTGGTGGGTCAGTTTTCGAATGATGATGGAACTGAACTAGTGCGGTTAGCCTCACGTTGTTTGAAGTATGAACCTCGTGAGAGGCCAAATGTGAAGTCTCTTGTAACTGCTCTTACCCCACTTCAGAAGGAAACCGAGGTATACTTGCATATTCTCCACTTTCTTATCTTCAACCTTTATTCTAGAAAGTCCACCAAAATACTAATACCTTCAATGTGAAACCAAGCTATACCCTGTTAGTGCAAGTTTCTCTTTTAGCTTGGTGAACAATGGATTTGGTGCGACTGATAAGACCATCTTTTGTAATTTTGTATGGAAGTTACTAATAGCTTGAAGCTTTGTGGTAGTGATAAAAAATATTAACTGAGATATGTTTTTCTGTCGACAGTTTGCTACCTTTTAACTTCTATTATTTTAACAGATACCATCACATGTTTTGATGGGCATTCCACATGGAACAGCGTCCTCAAAGCAAACAATGTTACTAACACCTCTAGGTGAAGCATGCTCAAGAATGGATCTTACTGCAATACATGAAATATTAGAAAATATTGGATACAAAGATGATGAGGGGATTGCAAATGAGGTCAGCAATCTATACAATTTATGTTCTTTCATATTCAATTCTCTCTCTCTCTCTCTCTATATATATATATATATCATTGGTTTGGTAGTGTTGAATAAAAGCTAGCTGGTAGGATCATTGGTTGCATTTTCGAAAAGTTAATGAGTTGATAAAACATGTACTAATGAATTGCTGTGACAGCTTCATCGTTCAAACCCAGATATAAGAACAGAAATGCTAGTATTACTTGCCTAGCATTATCGAAATCGTTTAAGTGAATTTGTCACATGGATCCTCTTTTGAAATTCTTCATGATAACGGGTATTGAATTTTGCTGCTTCTAGCTTTCTTTCCAAATGTGGACAGATCAAATACAGGAGACTCTGAATTGCAAAAAACATGGAGATACTGCTTTCCGAGGTAAAGACTTTGGAACAGCCATTGAATGCTACACGGACGTAAGTCTTCTATTTACAATTTGGCAATCTGCATCAAAATTCCACTCGTGATTAAAATTTCAACCCATGATGCTAATAACGTGCCTTGCATATATAGTTCATTGATGGTGGGACAATGATATCTCCAACTGTGTTTGCTAGACGCTGCTTGTGCTACTTGATGAATGACATGGCACAAGAAGCACTCGGAGATGCTATGCAAGCACAGGTAATATCTCCAGAGTGGCCGACGGCATTCTATCTCCAAGCTGCCGCCCTATTTAGCCTCGGGATGGACAACGACGCACAGGAAATCCTGAAAGACGGTACAAACTTGGAATCCAGAAAACACAGAAACTGAAAATCTATAGCCTTTTTATTGGGTCCTTTTGAGTTCATTTTGTATCTTGTCATATTTCTCCTTCCCATGTTATCTCAGCACCACAGTAATTGTAACGTCCATAGTCTGCTTACGGTGTTTTGTTGTCTTTTATTCACTCATTTCTGAACACTATTTTAAGATGATAACAACAATGAATGTTTCATTTCTCTTCTTCTGCCTCATATATCCCTATGGTTTCATTATACATTAACTGAATTTTTTTTATTGACAGGGAAGTTCAGTGATACATTTTTTAACACAATTTAATCCTTCATATCTATTTCAACTTAGCAAAACTCATTTTTTTTGTGGATAAGTTGGTTTTATTATCCAAATAGCAGAAGCTATAAAATACAATCAGAGTCATTATAGATCAAACATACGAAAAGAATCAATGGTCTGTAATATTCTAGTGATTGCAGAGGTTAATATTCACAGCAAGAAATCTGTTAAAAGTTCTACCACTTAAGTGAAGACTAACAACATCTTTGATAGCTTTAAGTAAATCTTCAATTGACCTAGATCGTCCTTGGAACAAACGTTTGTTCCTCTCTTCCCATAAGAAATATACTAGAGTATTCAAGGCCAGTTTCATAACCAAAGAAAACAAAGATTTTCCTTTCCGGTTGTTGCTTGCTTGTGTCAAGAACTCATCCCAGGAGTAGGCATCAAAGTTCAAACCAGAAAATGAAAAAATAGAATCCCAAAGGGAAGCATCAATAGGGTAAGATAGGAAGAGATGATCTCTAGATTCAGGTTCAGTAGAACATAAAACACAGATAGTATCGTTAGTCACTCCCATACGTTGTAATCTTACCTTAGTAGGAAGCTTGTCCAGAAAGGCCATCCAGGTAATGAGGTTATATTTTGGGTTATGCAAGGGGAACTATAACAGTTTCTGCCAAGGAACCGTAGGTCTCCTTTCCCGGATAGAATCCCAAATGGTACTGGCAGTAGCAACTCCTGAAGACACAATTGATGAACCTCTGGCCGCATTTTCAGTAACCTCTTCATGCACCAACTTGTACTAGAATTAATCTCAACTAACTAGAAGTTACTGTCCTTAAAAACGTAGGAGTTAAGCCATGCAACCCAAAGAGATCCTTGTCATGCAAGAATTTTCTTGATAAGAATGATCATGCAAGATTTATTCTAAGTCTTCATATTTTTAATTCCAAGCCCCCCTTCGGATTTCAAACAACAGATATTTGACCAGCTTACTCTAGCACCTGTGGCTACTTTGTCTGACCATTTCCAAAAGAAACGGGAGCAAAGCTTCTCGATCTTGGCCAACACAGAGTTAGGCAGAAATAGCTGTCTCCACCATAAATTTGAAATAGATGAGAGCACTGTTTTGATTAGTTCCAGTATGCCAGCATAGCTCAGGAGTTTAGTACACCAGTGGTTCAATCTAGATTTGATGTTGTCAATAAGGCTCACACAGTCCTTGTTAGAAATTTTTCTAGAAGTCAGAGGGATGCCGAGATATCTAATAGGAAGGGAGCCAAGGTTAAAGCCAGAAATCCGTTTTATGTTATCTTTTACAGCAGAGGATAACCCAGCAGTAAAAACTTCAGTTTTTGAAACGTTGAGTTTGAGTCCAGTCATCTCATAGAAATATTTTAACAGACTCGTGACACCAAGCACATATTCCACACTTCTTTTGCAAAAGATGAGGAGATCGTCAGCAAAAGATAGATGGGTCAAACCAATTCTTTGGAACTTAGGGTGAAAACCAAAAATTCCTTTAGAAGCTGCAAGATTGAGGAGTTTAGAAAGTACATTAATGGAGAGTACAAATAATAAAGGAGATAGAGGGTCTCCTTGTCTAAGACCTTTAGCACCCTTCAAATAGCATGACAGACTTCCATTAAAGGAAATAGAGAGGCTAGGGGTGGTAAAATAAGTTTCCAGCCACGAAGAGAAGATAGATGGAAGGCCAATTGCTTTCAAGATGGTTGAAAGGAAATTTCAATTGAGAGAATCAAATGCCTTATGAAGATCAATCTTCAATGAGCATCTAAGAGATATATTTTTCCTATTGTAACCTCTAACCAACTCCTGAGCAAGTAAAGTGTTGTCAATAATGTTCCTTCCCTTAACAAAAGCTGATTGATTTAGTGTAACCAAGTCAGGCAGGAGGAGAGTCAATCTTCTTACAAGTATCTTAGAGATAGCTTTGTAGACCACTGAACAATACAATATCGGTAAAGAAGCAAGAGATGGCAGCAGTAACCTCACTTTCGATGATGTGCCATGAGGATTTGAAAAAGTATGGTGAAAACCCATTAGGACCTGGGGATTTTTCATTCCCTTGGGAGAAGAAAACCTCTTTAATTTCTTCCTTAGAGACATCCTTTACTAAAGCAGCAGATTTATCAGCAGGCAAAGGGAAATTGATTAAATTTTTCAGCAGATTAGTATCAGTTGCCTTAACAACAGAGTCAATCGAGCCTAACAGATTTGAATAAAAGTTTACAACCTCTGCAGACATCAGATCGTAAGTTTCCAGCCTGTTACCTTGCTCATCAATAAGAATTCTAATTGTGTCTCTTTTGTTTTTGAGGACTACAGCTGAATGGAAGAATCGAGTACACTTATCACCCTCTTTTAACCATTGCACTTTTGCTTTTTGTCTGAAGAATAAAGTTTCAGCTGCTTCTAATTTTTTCACTTCATTTTGAATAAGCAGCTCCTTATCAAAAGAATCCTCTCCTCTAAGGGTTTTAAGTTGTTGCAATTCAAGATCAGCTTTAAGTTTAGTCACCCTAACAGAGAGGTCATTATAACAAGTCTGATTAAGAGCCTTCAATATGACTTTTAAACACTTAAGCTTTGTAAAAAGGATATGCATAGGATTCCCTAGGGCAGGTTTTGACCAGGATTGTTTAACCACATCATAATAGTTTGGGTGATGGGTCCAGTAGTTAAAAAATTTAAAAGGCTTAGGCCTATTAACTTGCAGTTCTTTACTAAGCCAAACTTGAGCAAGACAATGGTCAGAAATCCCAGGTGCAAGGAACTCAACATGAGAATCTTTGAAAGAGCTCACCCAAGTAAAGTTGATAAGGACTATATCTAGCTTCCTAGCCAAGAAAGAACTCTGTTGTTTATTACTCCAGGTAAAAGATGGACCAAAGTATGGATGGTCAAAAAGATCAAGGTCATGAAGGACATTTGGAACTCTCTCATGTCAGGAGTAGTCAAAGGACCAAGGAGATCATTATCAGAACTTTCTTTAGAGTGGAGAATGATGTTAAAGTCACCTCCAAGAATCCAAGTGTAACATCCTCCATACCGGGTTAGTGATTAAATTGTGAAATTATAAAATTCAGTGACCAAAGTAGATAAATTGAATAGTTGAAAGATTTAATGGGAATGTTTTGTGTAGGATCAATTAATAAAGAAGGAGGAACTAAAGGGGTAAAGGAGTCTTTTAATAGGGGAAATAATTAAATATTAGATGAGGATATTTAAATCCATGTGGAAGGCAAATGAAGAGAACAAAAGTTTCCATATTTCTCTTCTTCTTCACTTCTTCTTCTCCATCGAGAGACCAAGCTAAAGGTGAGTTTTCTTGTTGATTAAATTCTTGATGAATTTAAGGTTTCTTATTGATCCTTAGTTGATAACTAAGGTTAAGAAAAGCTTAGATTATCTTAAAACCATAAGATGAGGAGAATATGAAGAATCAAAGAAAGGAAGTAGAAAAGTGAAATCTTGGATTAGAGTTCCTAATAAGAATTAGAAGTGGAATTTGACTTGTCATAAAGCTAACTAAGAAGTATGAGGTGTTAGAATTCAAATTAGAACATGTTGGAATTTAGGTTAGATTCTTAAATTCTACATGGAGAATTGGATTTTTAAGTTTCAAAAGTATGGAATGGATAATAATTAGTTTAAGTAAGAGTATGCAAGTTAAGGATATATAAAGAGGGGAAATATAAAGTGTTAAGTAGACTAAGAAGAGATTTTCGTGCTAAAATGACAATTCTGGGCAATGTGCATCGATGCACATTCATTGTGCACCGATGCATCGATGATAAATCCCAGAAATTGTTTAAGGTGCATCGATGCACATGCAGTGCATCGATGCATTAATTTAAAAAGAAAACATCGAATAATATTTATGCATCGATGCATAAGGAGTGCATCGATGCATCCCCATTAAATACAAACATCGAATAGGATTTATGCATCGATGCATGGTGTAGTGCATCGATGCATACCTCCATTAAAAGATGAAAATGTCTTTTCTTTTAGCCTAAGAAATGATAGTTTAGAATATATTAATTAGTATACTGATAAGTATCAATGAATTACTATGTAGATATCGAGCCTAAACGAGTTCCGGAACCATCAACAAGTAGGATCAATCGAGGGAAAGACAAAGAAATCTAGGTGAGTGCATATGCATAGCATGAATATGTATTTTATTTAGTTATAGACTTGTGATAAGCCTAGATTCAATATTTTGATACATGATAGTATTTCATATTATGATATATGACATGAATCCATACCATATGCATTATGGGACATGAATATGCAAGAAAAAGTTATATGAGTTATGTGATAAAGGTATGAAAATAATATGTCTACGTGATACAAATAAGATAAATTATGAAAGCCCATGTTATGTAAATGAGAACTATAGGTATAGTTGGCATGCCAAGGGTAGAGGGTCTATGTGGTTCTTCGGGACATATATGTATTCTTTGGAATATGTGTGAGGTCTGGTGAGACACATACTTGATCCTTGGCATATGTATATGATTCTTAAGGAATGATATGTGGTCCTTCTGGACATATATGTCTTCTTTGGAACATGTGTGTGGTCTGGTGAGACACATACTTGATCATTGGCATATGTATATGATTCTTAAGGAATGATATGTGGTCCTTATGGACATTATTATATGGCACTACGGTGAAATTCTACACGGCACTCCGGTGCAATTCTACGTGGCACTTAGGTGCAATTATATGAGCTGTGGTGACAACATAGTGCACAACCTCACAATACTCATATACCTTAGGTTCTCTGTATGGTACCATGGGCTAATGAACTTACTAAGGCGAACTTATGAATGTGAATTTGATAAGTATATGTGTAAGAAACATGGTTCTGGTTATTGCATTGTTTACATACATCTTATCATTGAAACCTATCTTATT